GACTTGACTATTTCCGTTAATTCATCGTACGGCATCCACAATTCCCGTTCGACCTGTTTACAAAGTTAATGTCACTGGACTATTTCCGCAGTTTGCTCTACGGTAGGAGTTCCCAGCCAGGGGGCGCGCCTCCCAAGGGAGGCATAGAGAGATGTCAAGGAGGGCGGAAGGCGTTTGCATTTTAGAAAGGAAATACAAACAACATTACACGCATAAAATTAGAAATTAAATATCATATTCACTTATTCTGTCAACCTCTGTTTCAAAACCCGGCGTCGTCAATCGCAGTTTATACAAGTTTCGACAAGTCGCATCATGAAATCCGCGCTCCGCTTAACATTCATCACTTGGAAAACAATTGTGTACCTACCAGACACGGTGAGCATCTCGGACATTCGTTCCCACAAACTTGCGAAAAATTTGACGTTTCGATGTACATGTTTTGTTGAGAAATCTGTTTGAGTGTGTCACACTGTTAAAAGGTAAGTTTGTGTATTTACAAACTTCAGTTACCATTTTTATTTAATTTACTAAATTGTTGATTGAGCGGAGACGCGTTCATAGAACGGCCATTGGGACTTTTTTACCACATCACAATCAAACCAACGTGGCGAAATAATTTAGAAACGACGAACCTAATATTAATTGTATACTAAGTGACATATAAATCCGAACATCCAGTTTAAATGGTTTTATTTTAATAAAAGTTGGTGAATGTATTTATCTTACTGTAAATAACAAGTGACAAAATTTTCAGCCTTATCAGTTGGACATTCCGGTTATTATACTGCTTTTTTTTAATTCACTAACGCTCTAAAAATGAATATTTCAGCCGCAGTAAAGAATCAACGTTGGCGGATTTTGGTTCTTGACATCCTTTACGATCGGTTACGATGCCTAGAGTACGCTTGCAGATCACGGAAGACCTATTGGCATGCGAAGTTGTTTACCGACGAATGAGAAGTTTTGGCTTGTTTTCACACCGGCCACACTGGGTCCTCCCTTTAACTCGAGAACACCGACGTAATCGCCTTGAGTGGTGCAGACAACGGTCACTCTGGGATCAGGAATGGAACAGTATTGTCTTTAGTGACGAGTCTCGATTTTGTTTAGGCAAGCACGATGGTCGTGCCAGGGTTAGAAGGCGACGTGGTGAAAGGAGGAATCCACAGTTTTTTGTTGAAAGACATGTTCATCACACTGTTGGAGTTATGGTTTGGGGTGCTATAGCTTATGGTTCCAGGTCACCTTTAATCTTCATCAAAGGTAACATGAACGCGCAGCGTTATATCCACGAAGTTCTAGAACCCCATCTTTTACCCTATCTTGACACCCTGACAGATCCAACTTTCCAACAAGATAATGCCCGACCACATGTTGCAAGAGTCACAATAGACTTCTTTCAACATAATGATGTCACATTGTTACCATGGCCACCAAGATCTCCCGACTTATCCCCAATTGAGCACGTGTGGGATATGATGGGTAGGAGATTGCTCAATTTACAACGTCCTCCTCAGACTCTAGAAGCACTTCGAGAGGAGTTAGTGGTTGCCTGGAATGAGATACCACAGGAGGACATTGACCACCTGATCAGAAGCATGCCTAGGCGCGTTGGAGAATGCGTAGCACATCAGGGTGCATTCACACATTATTAAAGGTCAAAGGGCTTTAAAGCAGTGCAATCATTTTGAAATTTTTATCATTTACTTATTATGCTTCATTAAGTACTTATACAAAATTTTATTAAAATAAAACCATTAAAACTGGGTGTTCGGATTTATATGTCACTTAGTATATTTAAAATTACTATTATAACGTCAACCTGCCTACAAAAATATAAATCTTCCGGTGGCCAATATACTGTTGAATACATTACGTTATTAAGATAAAATAATGGGCATATAATTAGTAATTACATGTAGGTATTTTGCTTATTTATTTATTAATTATTTGTTTTATTATTATAGGTGCAAAATGGCAGCGAAAAAAAGAAAGTTTCACCGAAGATGACGTTAAGTTTGGATTTACCTTCAAAGAAAAAGACTAGTTACAATTGCCTCAGTGTGCGATATGTATGAAAGTTTTAAGTAATGATAGCATGAGGTCTTGAGAGGCATTTGAAGCAATAATATCCAACTGGTTTTTAATACGAAAGAGTTTTTGTCTTCTAAAGCAGAATCACTCAAGCGGATGAGACTGGATAAATCGGGAAGCTATCACACAGGTGTATCGCAGCATCGCAAAGCTTCATTTGAAATAGCTTTTATGATAGCAAAGCATAAGAAACCTCATACTATCGGTGAATAATTAATAAAACCATATGTCCTTAAGCAACGCAGATAATTTTAGGAGATGATGCAGAGCAAAAAATGAAGTCTATTTCTCTTTCGAATAACACAGTCCACCGTAGAATCGATGACATTGCAGCAGACATAAAGTCACAAATAATTAATAAAGGAAAATGATCGCCATTTTTTGCGTTGAATCCACCGACATCGGTAATTGTGCACAGTTAATAGTTCATGTTCGTTACATCGGCGGAGATATCATTCAAGAAGGGATTTTGTACTCCCAATCTTTGACAGCAGGAACTACGTCCGAAGATATATTTGATTCAATATCAAATTTTGTTGAAAAAATGATTTTGATTGGAAGAAACTCAATGGACTTTGCACAGATGGCACACCTGCAATGATAGGTGTACGATCGGGCTTAGGTAAAAAGCTTGAGGAAAAAGATCCCGCAATGGTTAGTACACATTGTGTTATTCATCGGTAAGCTTTGGCTTCCAAAACATTGCCAGAGAAATTAAGCCAGACTTTGGACACGGCTATAAGGATTGTAAACTACATCAAGAGCAGCACTTTGAACAGTTGGTTATTTACTTTACTTTGCGAGGATCTCGATTCTGATCACAAAGTTCTTCTGTTCCATACAGAAGGATGCTGTTCAAAGGCAACCCGTTATCTCGCCTTTATGAATTGAAAGAAGAGGTAATTCTTTTTCTTGAGTTCAATGAAAAACACGGTTTCTTGAGAATGTTCAAAGATGACACATTTCAATGGAGGTTGGCTTATTTAACTGACATTGAATGAGCTAAACTAGAAACTTCAGGGCAGAAACAACACTATAATAAGCAATTATGATTATATTCAAGGGGTTCATTCCAATCAAAGCTTCAACTTTGGAATCAAAAAGTGTCTTCTGAAAATGTTATCTTTTTCTATCGGCTGTTCGAACCAATTAAAATTAACATACTGGACACAAATTTAAAAGCTGACATAAAAACTCATTTTCAAGCGCTGGAAGACGAATTTCGCCGATACTATCGAGACATCAATTCAGAGTGACCAATATGGCACATGACAAGAAAACCATTTGTTGTCGATGTGTCACAATTACCAGAAGTTCAGGAAGAATTTCTAGAAATGAAGGCTGATCCATGAAAGATGACTTCCATCTTTTGACATTAGAGAAATTTTGGATCAAAAGATTGCCTGTTAATTAGACACTTGCCTCTCTTGCTTTACGAATACTAGTTCCTTTTTCTTTCAACTGGCTTATGTGAGACAGGCTTTTCTGCTCAAGATATCCGTCGTAATTGACGGATTCTCCTCTTCATCCCACAACGTCAACGCGGGTGTTCCCCAGGGATTGGTCTTGGCACCAACACTGTTTCTCTTACATATCAACGACCTCCTTTCCTGCACGATCAACCCAATCCACAGCTTCGCTGATGACAGCACTCTACATGCAGGAATTCAGAGTGACAAGCCGATCTCTGTCGCTGAGCTGGAAAAAAGAAGACTAGCGACGACTTCTTCTCTGACAAGAGACCTGGAGGCTATCACTGCTTGGGGACGCAACAATCTTGTACAGTTCAATGCTTCCAAAACACAGTACTGTACTTTGACGAACAAAAAGCGTCCTAGCGCTCATACAGTTTCGATGGACGGTCGAGTTCTACCAAAGAGCTATTCATTTCGGCTGGTCGGAGTCCAGATCACCGAGGACCTGATCTGGCACGAACACATCTCGTCAATAGCTGCTGCTGCTGGGAAAAGGCTAGGCTATTTGTTTAGGGCTAAGAAGTACTTTTCTCCGCATGACCTTCTCACTCTATACAAGGCCTAGCCTCGAGTATTGCTCACACATTTGGGGTGCTGCCGCCCCGACTACATTGTCCATGCTCGATGCTGTCCAGAGGAGGGCGGTCCGACTGATCGATGACTCTTCTCTAACAGACAGTCTCGAGACTCTTTCGCACCGGCGGGCCGTCGCCGATCTAGCTCTTTTCTATCGCTACACCAACGGGCTTTGCTCCTCAGAGCTCTCTTACATGATGCCGCCGCGCGATGTGCCTGCCAGACAGACCCGCCTGACTTCGGTGTCCCACCCTAACCGTGTGAAACTTCGTACATCCAGAACTGGCCGATACGACCGCTCCTTTGTCCCGAGGGTGTCTAGATTGTGGAACAATCTACGGGAGGAAGCTTTTCCCAGTTCTACTAGCCTTAGGCAGTTCAAAAATCGTATTAACAAAATTTCTTTGGGATCATCATAGCAGCCGCGGTGTTCCGGCATTTAGGCTTCTGCCTGCGCGGCTGTTTCGATATAAAAAAAAAGTCTTAATTAAAACTAAACAGCGAAATCGTCTTGATGTCGATAGCGACCTGATGATAGATCTGACAAAAACAGAACCTAGAATCAACCAACTGCAACATGCAATCTGATATGTGAAGTGTCTCATTAGTACCTACTCTTATTTTATTCAAGTTTTTCGATAAACAAACATTTATTAGTTTATTTAAACTTTCAAAGTTTCTTTATTAGAATTAAAATAAAAGGAGTATTTCCGTAAATTCATCGTAAGGCATCGACAACTCCCGTTCGACCTGTTTGTAGAATTACAAAGTGAATTTTACTGGACTATTTCCGAAATCTGCTCTACTGACTACTCTTCAAGCTGTTTGCCAAACAAACTTGCGTATTGCACTAACCAATGAGGCGCCTCATCCTGGTAATATGTGATTATAAAGGTAAAGACACAAAAGACCATCAAAGAATTAATTGAAGTTTAATCACAATCCACAAGTTGAACACTGGAATGCTTTTCCATATCAATTATCTTTGTTATACACAATATCACCCACATTGAACACTGTTTCAACCATAGTCTTAAAATGCCATAGACACCAACAGCAAGAAAGTATTTACTTAATTTGTGCTACACATATATAAGATATGATAAACGAATAACATGCTGAAAGCCTAAAAACGCATATTAACAAAAAATGTATTTGCAGTGTGGCTTAAGTCGATTCTAATATATCTTCCATAAGTACGTCGTGCAAAACAAATATCACTCTCAATGAAACCTCAGGGTATATTTGAATCCATACAAGATTGATTTGTATGCCTCTGCAAAAAACGATAGCTTCTAACACTATGAATTTTGGATTTATATAATGTTTACTCAATATAAAGCTGTGACGTAAAATTCTAACTAATTCCACTAGCAGCATATAAAACCTGAGAAACAAGAAAAATTACAGATACTACATAAAATCAACTGATCTTTTTCTTACAATCCCTCAAATATAGTATTCAAGAAAATTATTTCTAGCAAAATAATCTATAAAAAATTAAATGCAGATATTATACGATTCGTTCTTTGACAAATGGTTTTCAAGATTACACATATAATATTCAATATTTATGTACCTGAAGCATGTTTTACTCTGCCTACAACCACACTATCAAGCAAACTGATGTTTTTATTGTTTGAATACAGACTTTTTTTAAAGAAACCACAGCAGTTTTGTTCAACATTTAATTTTAACCTGACTTGAGACTAAAAGGAGGTTGGAAATACATAATTGGAAAAGATGAAAGTCAGCTAAGTATTGTGCATTAATTATGTGTGGTTGTAAACAAAATTACTATTGAATTGAACACTTGCATACATTTTTATGACTACCTTAATTACTACTTTCGATGTTTTCATCTTTCATGGTTTTATCAATCATTTCTATCATATGCTTCCAGTAATTTGCCCTGATTATATCATACTTATTTATCAATTCCTCACACAATTCCTTTGCTCGTTGTGGGGTGTATCTGGAAACAAAAATATTTTAACAACTGACCAGTATAAATAAAATAGTGTAGATGATATAATAATTCATCAATGAACCAATTTATGATAATCAACAATCTAAGAAAAGCTATCTCAGAATTGAAATCTACTAAAAATTATAGTCAGAATCTCGCAAAAAAGATTCTAAATGATTGTTTCAATATAATTGGAGAGAAATTATTATTGGCAAATTATTGTTTAGTACATGGTGAATTCCCATCAAAATTAAAGTGTTCCACTATTACTCCTGTGCCAAAACTTCAACATTCTGAGCTATATACAAATGTGCGGCCATTTAATGTCTTGCCAGATTTCAAGAAGCTGTTGAAAGGATAATATACGAACAATTCATTGAAGAAAACAAAATTTTGGCATAGAAGCAATCTAGATTTAGAAAAAAATATTCTACAGAAACAGCAATCCAAATGGTAGTGGATGATGAGAAGGAGTATAGATTGAGACTATAGATAGGGAAAATTTGTTAATAAAATTACATCTCCATGGTTTTAAAGGATCCGTATTAAAGGTGAAATTAAAAAATCACTTGTTTATAGCATCAACTCTAAATGAATCTTCAGCAAACAAATACAACAAGATCAGAGATCATATGAAGTAGCTCACTCTTGGAAAGTGCTGGAAAATAATTGGTTCTCAATGTGGGCAGTAAATGAAATAAGTTCCATAACTTCTGGTCTATACCCATGAAAAACTTTGCAGCTTACCTTGAATCTCCACCTCCTTCATTTAATTGTTCAAAGCACATATCAACAATTACAGCTAATGAAAATGGTGATCTATTGCCAGACTTGTATAACTCCTCACAGAAATCTGTCACTTTTTTATTGTTACTCAGACCTTCTTTGCCATGAAGCAGTAGACTAGAATCAATAGAAAAATCATCATACTCAATTTCTTCATTTTGAGAGAAGTTAGCTTACCCTCGAAGGTAGTTCCAAGCACTTTCATTTTCTGTAACTGTTTTTATATGGTTCAGAGTATAGTCAATTTCTCTATCCAAAACTTCATCTGTGAATCCAGTGGTATTATTTATGACAAAGTACCTTTGATTCCAAGCTGAATTATTTCTCACATCATCTGAGATCAGAGTGTCAACATATTCCAGCTCACCATCAAACAATCTGAAAATGCATGACAAATGACGTATTTCATGTAAATAAATGGACACTTGAAGCATACTCCAAACAGTGCTGATTCAGCTGCTAAATGCAAGTAAATACAGCCAATGATAATGTTTTTCTTATATCTTGAAAATTATGAGAAATCTAGCATGAACAACTCGGGTGGTACTTACTTGAAGGTTCTAATGACCCATTGTCTATGCTGCCACGCATGGTAATTTTTAGCATCTTTTGCTAAAACAGTTTCAGTGAGGTACTTTTCTTTTGATGCATCCTGCAGCCATTCTACTATGATTCTTCTGTGGTGCCATACTTGATAATTTTTGGAGTGTTTCAAAATCACCTTCTGGATATAATCCAGCTCTTCATTCAAGTCCTTCCCTAATCCTTTCAGGATCTCTCTCCTAGAATCAAGATTTCCTACTATGATTACTGAAATATTAATGTATGAATCATTTTGTTGTGGGATGTTAGCAAAATATAAGAAGTGAACCATGATACTATTCTGTCATAGGTTGATAAATTTGTTATATCAAAGATGTAAATAGTTTCATTCCTTCATTATCACTTTACCTGTACTGCCAAACAGTGTAATTTGCAGAATTCAACTGGGCTGCAGTTTTTGTTAGCTCTAAAGCGCGTTCTGAGATTTCCTTCTTTTTCAGAATGGCACGAAAATAGTCATAGCAGTCCTCAACTGAAAACAATGAAGCAAAATAAAAGAATGAATCTATGATTTCAATTTGTCTTACAAGCTTCTGTATAATCTATGGCCACAACTGGTTCATCGCCATCGTCCTGCTTCAATGGGGTCACGTCTTTCCATTCTGGTCTATCCCTGTATAAAATAGTGTCATTCTCATTTTCATCGCTACTACAATCACTCATTTCTGTTTTTTAAATTGTTAAATGAAATTTATAAATTTGGATGGACAAATCTGACCTAACCCAAAAATCCTGACGTTGACGTATGTCATGATGACAGCAGAATAACAGGGCTGCGTTCGTAAATTGTTACAGAGTAAGTTTTGTACTACTCTGTAACAAATTTTGCGTTCGTAATTACGTACCTGTTACATGCTTTCGGAAATGGAACAAAGTAATCCTTCTGGAACGTCAAAAGTCTGCTTTTCTTCCCGTGCTCAAAACCTTGCGGAATAAGAGTTCACTTGTCATTCTTATGGTTCGTTGTTTATTTTATTTGGTTATCACAAACTGTCCAAAATTGGCGGAATACATATTTTTCATGATAAATGCTACCTCGTATCCCTAGGGTCTCTTCTTATAATGGTCGGCTGTCATCAAGTGTCATTACATAACTCTGTAATAATTTAGGCGTTCTAAAACAAAAGTTTCACAGTATTTCAGAGTAAAATTTCATATGTCAATGTACATTCCATTACTATAATATATAATAATAAAATATAATATACTACATACCAAGCCAAAATGGTGAATACCATTTCCATTTGGTTATCCGCTTGAATTTGATTTGTGTACGGAATTACATTGCCAAGAGATTTACAAGCGCTCCTCGATTAGGGTAGTCTGTAAAACCGCTCCCACATGATGTGGCGAATGCCTTACAACGTTGGGAGAGCGCTGACGGATTGCATGTGTCCAACTTCGCCTCTTGTCGGTAAATTTGACCCGCGTCAAAGGTCAAAGGACCTTGCAACGTTGGAAGCAAGGTTCGTTACGGTCGCACACGAGATGTCATGTGTTTGATGGTTTTAGGTTAGAACCAGTAGCGGCGACAAACATTAATCAAATTCAAGCGGATAACCAAATGAAAATGGTATTTACCATTTTGTTTTGGTATTTACCGATCCGTTCAAGCGAGTGTGGTTATCAGTTTGGTTATAAGATCCGTGACGTCAGCTGTTATATGTCATAGTTATCACCGCAAAATTGTGCTATTTACCCAACTCGAGTAGTTTTATATTTCTGGTTATTATTTGACATGTGACAAGTTAGAATTTTGGCGGGTATTGGATATTTTTATTGTACTTCAGCTTCATTTTTGGGAAACTTGATAGAGGCTGACTTCAGTTTTAGCATAAGAGAGCACCTTATTAGTTATAATCATTAATGTTGTTGGGGACACTTTACATCCAGTTCCTACGCTTAAAAAAGTATCATGTATAACCATATACCACAAGAATATTAAAATATGGCCATATATACTCACTGGATGATGTCCACCTGTATACGGTTTTGTTAATATCTTTTTTCATCGCTTTTAGAGAATTGAAAGTTATCATAGCCATGGTTCCATCAGTAAAACTTTTTTTCTAAAAAAAACATTCCTCCCATTAATATTATGAAAGGTTTCCTTTTTTCAACTTTTCATACCCCATTGTAGATGAAAAAGCACCGATTATTAAGTGATAATAAAAATAATCAGAAATTATATACGCGCTTTTCTAAAATAAACAAACCGCGGTTAAAACCAACGCGGTCAAGCGATTCGAGTAACTGACGTCATCATCCCGTGTGTCATCTTGAACCATATTATAACCGCGGCACATAACACAGAAATTTTGGTTATTCGCTTGGATTTCATTATTATTTATTTGTTTCTTGTGATTGTTGTGAAGTAGTGGTATGTGGGAAGTATTTTGATTTTATACCTACCTATTCATAATAACGTATGTTCAGTAACTAACTTTTGAGGAGAATGGATTAAATTAGTATACATACAAGGCATAGGCGCCATAACAACACTTTTTTCATATTGCTAATATTTGGCTGGCTTAAGGATATGTATTTTAGTAAATTATATATTATCAAGTGCTTACAGTTGTTTCATTATCATGTTCTGTTGCAATGTAAGACTAGTAGAGAAATATATGACTTTCATTTCATAACTAACGAAAAAGATTAAATAAACGATAACTCTGAAAGTACTATCAGGATTTTGACGAAATTTTGACGCTAGGTTACTGCTATGAGAATGACGCAATTTTTGAAAATCGGTACAGTGGCGTTGGAGCTATCGTCGAAAAACAAACAAAAAACGGTCAAACTTCATTTTTCGATATATTTGAGGTTTCTGACTGACTTAAGTTTTGGTTGCTGAGAACAGACCTGAAATTATTTTTTGGCGCTCGAAAAAATTGTTTCCTCGTTTATTTTGTCCTTCAGTTGCAAAGGTTCAAGCGCGACACTGATACGATAATAGACGCTCGCACCACCATGCGTCGAACGCCCGAGACTAAAAAGTTCATCCCATCGTGTAGGAGACACACTTGCCAATTGTGGGATGCCGAACGTTGTAAACAACGTTGGAAGCATCGTGTGGGACGCGCATTAAGGGTAATACCGTTTTTCTGCCAGCGACAGGCATTCCACTTTGATATATTAACGGTATAGATGGCGCTTAAAACAGAAAAGCTGACAAGTGACATTTAAAGTGCCGATAAGTGAATTTCCTTCCCGTTTTCGTCCTTTTGAAACATGGCAGATCCATGTGCACATTGACGAGATTTTTTTCCCGTTTTCTTGTAAATTACTGAACAAATCGTTCTGAAATCGTCCTAAATAGTGCGCGCAATAATAAAGTAAGAAATCATGAAGCTGAACGTGTCGTTCCCGGCTACGGGTTGCCAGAAGCTGTTTGAGGTTGTGGACGAGCACAAGATCCGCATCTTCTACGAAAAGCGTATGGGCCAAGAAGTCGAGGCTGACACCCTGGGTGACGAATGGAAGGGCTACGTGCTGAAAATCGCCGGTGGCAACGACAAGCAGGGTTTCCCGATGAAACAAGGTGTACTGACCAACAGCAGGGTGCGTCTACTTCTATCCAAGGGCCACTCTTGCTATAGACCACGCCGTACCGGAGAACGCAAGCGAAAATCCGTCAGGGGATGCATCGTAGATGGAAACCTTAGCGTATTGGCCTTGGTTATCGTCAGAAAAGGTGAGAAGGATATCCCCGGCTTGACAGATACTACCATTCCTCGCCGTTTGGGGCCCAAGAGAGCATCCCGTATCCGCAAGCTCTTCAATCTCGGCAAAGAGGACGATGTACGCCAATACGTCGTCAAAAGACCCCTTCCTGTGAAAGAAGGCAAGAAGCAGAGATACAAGGCACCGAAGATCCAGCGACTTGTTACTCCAATTGTAATCCAGCGTAAACGTCATCGTTTGGCATTGAAGAAGAAGCGTTGTTTGAGACGTAAGGAGCAAGAAGATACATATGCCAAGCTGCTGGCCCAGCGTAAGAAGGAATCCAAGGCAAGAAGGGAGTTGATGAAGAGAAGGAGATCTGCCAGTATGCGTGATAGTAAATCCAGCACGCACAGCGGGCAGAAGTAATTTGTATTTTTTTATTTTACATACCTATGTAAGGACAATGTGAGAATAAATACGTTGTTGCTGAATTTCTACTCATTATTCACCATGAATACCTGCAGTTTGGAGTGACAAATTATACCATTATGTCAAAATGGCTTTCATTGCGATATATATATATAAGCTGAAACTAGGCAAAGTTATACCAATTCTAAAAAAGGGGAACAAGCTTGATATTACAAACTACAGGGCAATCACTGTGCCGTCTGTACTTTCTAAAGTGTTTGAATATGCCTATTTGGATAGACTTCTTCTACATCTTAAGAACAACAATTTTTTGTCTCAAAACCAGCATGGTTTCACAGATGGTAAGACTACAATGTCAGCCCTACATTCCTTTTATGAGAAGCTTATAGAATACATCGACGCGGGCGAGTGCCCTACTGGGGTATTTTATGATCTCAGTAGGGCATCCAGATACCCATTTTACAGCATATGCTGATGACGTTTCTGCGATAATATCAAGTAATTCAAATATAATTTTGGAAGATAAATGTTTAACCAGTACTCACTTTATTTGAATCCTTCCAAAACAACGCTTATTCGTTTTCATCATGCTCAAAAAACTGTAGAAGGGTTTCAAGTTAGATTGGGTGACAATCAACTCGATTTTAGAGGAGAAGTGAAATTTCTTGGAGTTCATTTTGATTCGAACTTAAATTGGAAGGCCCACTGCGAATTTCTCACATCAAAAATGTACTCTCAAAGCTATGTGTTGAGGCAATTAAAAACCATCTTAACAGCTGAACAATTGATACAAGTTTATTTTGCTAATGTGGATTCGAGATTAAGATATGGAGTATGTTTCTGGGGTTGGTCAACGCGCTCTGAAGATGTAAAAAAGATGCATCCGATCATTAGCAGGCATCTCACCAACAGAACGTTGCAAAAAATATTTTATAAGTTTCAAAATTTTAACTGTCCCTTCGTTGTATATATATGAATTGTGCTTACATGTTTTTAAAAATAATGAAAAATTCAAGCGGAATCGTGATATGCATAATTATGATACAAAGACTTGTAATAATTTATATGTAAACTTTAGCAAATCAAAAGCGGCATTTCGATCACCTAATAAAGTTGGTCTGCTTCTTTTTAATAATTTACCATGCCACATTACCTCGGTTAAAATATTAACGACTTTAAGTTCCTGTTGAAGCAATTTTTGATAAACAAGTGCTTTATCGTGTTGATGAATTTTTGAACATTGCAATTTGAGATTAGTTGTAGGTTTGTAGCGAACGAAAAATTGACAATTCCAATACAATTATATACTAAGTGACATATAAATCCGAACACCCAGTTTAAATGGTTTTATTTTAATAAAAGTTGGTAAATGTATTTATCTTACTGTAAATAACAAGTGAAAAATTTTTCAGCCTTATCAGTTGGACATTCCGGTTTTTATACTGTTTTTTTTTTAATTCACTAACGCTCTAAAAATGAATATTTCAGCCGCAGTAAAGAATTAACGTTGGCGGATTTTGGTTCTTGACATCCTCTACGATCGGTTACGATGCCTAGAGTACGGAGACCTGTACGATTTCGTCAACTTAGTGAGTTTGATAGGAGCCGTATAGTGGGACTTCGGGAAGCTGGACTTTCTTTTCGGGCAATTGCAGTTAGAGTGCAAAGAAGTGTAGACACTGGTTAGGTGTTGTCAGGCATGGCTTCGAGAAGGCCGTACGCAAAGAGCAAGGGGCACTGGACGCCGCCGTAGAACAACAGACCGTGAAGATCGCCGCCTAAGATTATTGGCCTTAAGGGACCGTTTCTCCAATACCAGGTCCATTGCAAATGAATGGTTTGCAGAACACGGAAGACCTATTGGCATGCGAAGCGTTTACCAACGTATGAGAAGTTTTGGCTTGTTTTCATACCGGCCACACTGGGTCCTCCCTTTAACTCAAGAACACGTAATCGTAATCGCCTTGAGTGGTGCAGACAACGGTCACTCTGGGATCAGGAATGGAACAGTATTGTCTTTAGTGACGAGTCTCGATTTTGTTTAGGCATGCACGATGGTCGTGCCAGGGTTAGAAGGCGACGTGGTGAAAGGAGGAATCCACAGTTTTTTGTTGAAAGACATGTTCATCACAGTGTTGGAGTTATGGTTTGGGGTGCTATAGCTTATGGTCCAGGTCACCTTTAATCTTCATCAGAGGTAACATGAACGCGCAGCGTTATATCCACGAAGTTCTAGAACCCCATCTTTTACCCTATCTTGACACCCTGGCAGATCCAACTTTCCAACAAGATAATGCCCGACCACATGTTGCAAGAGTCACAATAGACTTCTTTCGATATAATGATGTCACATTGTTACCATGGCCACCAAGATCTCCCGACTTATCCCCAAGTGAGCACGTGTGGGATATGATTGGTAGGAGATTGCTCAATTTGCAACGTCCTCCTCAGACTCTAGAAGCACTTCGAGAGGAGTTGGTGGTTGCCTGGAATGAGATACCACAGGAGGACATTGACCACCTGATCAGAAGCATACTGAGGCGCGTTGGAGAATGCGTAGCACATCACGGTGCATCAACACATTATTAAAGGTCAAAGGGCTTTAAAGCAGTGCAACCATTTTGAAATTTTTATCATTTACTTATTATGCTTCATTAAGTACTTATACAAAATTTTATTAAAATAAAACCATTTAAACTGGGTGTTCGGATTTATATGTCACTTAGTATATATTGTCTGTATGGAAATAAAGGTTATTGATTGATTGATTTGTTTACAAAACATCACATTGCATTTTTTACATGATATATATAATTTAATTAGAAACTACTAACATAAATAGCGATTTGGAATAAGATTAGACGTGGCAACAAAAAAATATACAGATATCCTGGGCGAACTGCATTTATTGTTATACCTGTTTAGTTATTTGATGCTAAGAAAAGGAAAGAAATTAATTTGCTGTCAGTTACCTTTGTGACAATCTTGGGATAGTGAAAATTAATTTATTGATTCAAATTTTACTTGCAAAATGGTTTACACGCTAGTCGAAAGAGTGGATATGATGTGGTCGGCAAACTGCCGTCACAGACATCTGGGAAAGATAACTTCGCATAGGTGTTTTGGACCTTGTTACTAAATTTACTCGAACTGGATCTGTTGCAAATAAAAAACACGATCATCGGAGAGTTTTGGGTAATTTTGCAATGAATCCTAATACTTCATCACGCAAAATTGTTGCTGCCACTGGTATTTCATTGGGCTCTGTACACAGTTACTAAACTCCCTAAATTTCATCCATTCAAAATGAAAATATCGCAAGAGTTAACTGAAGATGATTTCGATAGGCGAGTAGAGTTTTGTGAACAAATGACTGCAGTGATTAATCATAATAGCATACATGTCCGGAATATCTGGTGATAAATGCACATTTTTATCTGCTTCGGTGATAAATGCACATTTTATCTAAATGGATTTCTTAATAAGCATAACTGCAGGTATTCTAGCAAAGAAAATCCCCTTGCTTTTGTAGAAGGGCATACCCAGTACCCCCAAAAAATTAATGTATGTGTAGGCAAGTTTTCAAATAAAAACACCCAGTATATATATATATACAGGGTGGCGCATCGAAAACGAAACAGACGCATTTACTGGCAGCTCAGTTTTTTTTTGAAAAACGCTCAGACCAGTCGATTTTGTTTTCGAGGGGGACACAAGTTTGGCAAAAAATCACGTTAACACGTGCAGCCCCCTAAACGGGGGTGACACCACCCCCAAAATCTTAAATGGAAAGGGGGGTCGAGTGATACCTTATTTTAAAGGTCTTTCAATTCCCTTTATAATTATAAAATATAAATAAAATTAATGTACTTCAGTTCAGTAGTTTTGAAGATTTATTCATTTAAAGCTTAAATAAAACTAATACATCATCATTAGTGGAGATCAATACATTTGGCAGCAAAGTAATTTAAAAATGAAGAATGAACTGACCCGTTAGGCAAGTGAATGTTGAAAATGGTCACCATGACTCTCCATGCAATAATAAAGATTTTGATCAAAACGATGCCGCACATTTTGCAATATTTGAGGAGTAATTTGAGGGCACTCATTCACAATTCTTTGTCGCAGGTCTTCTAATGATGTTGGCTGCGTAGCATAGATTTTGCTTTTTAAATGACCCCACATAAAGAAATCCAAAGGTGATAAATCTGGCAATCTTGGGGGCCATTCAATGGCACCTCTTCTACCAATCCATCGATCTGGAAACGTATGAACTAAATATTGTCGAACACGTAATGCGTAATATGTGGTGGGGCACCATCCTGTTGGAACATCAACCTATTCGCAATGTACCGCCGATCATTCTGATTTTCAATTATGGCTGTTAATGGCAGGATCTATGGCGTCTTCCAGTAATTCCAAATACATTCCACCGGTCAAATTTCCAGGTAAGAAAAAAGGACCAACTAAATGATCGCCAAAAATACCAGCCCTAACATTTAATTTTTGTGGCTGCTGTGTATGAACCTCATGATAAATTCTGGGACTAGAATCGGACCAATATCGGCAGTTATGACGATTTACTACGGCATTTAAGAAAAAAGGAACATTCATCGGAAAAGCAAGTGTTGAATAGAAAATGTTCATCGTTTATAATTCGTTCACTTATATCTTTACAAAATTGTAATCGCCGATCAAAATCGTCTTCATTAAGTTCTTGTACCAGGTGAATTTTAAAAACTATGGGCCTTTAGAATCCGTTGGACAGTACGTCGACTAACACCACACACAGTCTCCAATTTGCAGGTACTTAACGTAGGATCTACATAAACTTGCCCTAAAACCCCCACCTCTATTGCTTCGTTCCTTATGGGATTTTCAATGTTGCGATTTTTATTTGCGACTGACCCAGTTTCCCAAAATTTTGCTACAAGTTCTAGAACATATTTTCGATTGACGTTACTGTTCTAATGTCGCTCATTAAATATTTCTTCTGTTCTATTAGCGCACTGATTATTTCCGAAAAATATTTCGATAATTTCAACTCTTTCTGCTGTGGAATATACCATGGTTAATTTATGTGATAAAGCGTTACAAGTTATTTTAGCAACAAAGTTTGATCAAATCAACGCAAACTATGTACTAAATTCCTATTTAAAATAAGTACGAGATATTTCCTTATCTTTCTTCAAGAAATAACTTTTTTGTCACAAAAAACGTTCCAATAGCTATTTTCAACAACAAAATGATAAACAAACCATGGGCGTAGTGGAGAAAAGCATTTACTTATTAAGTAAATTCTTTTAGTCAAATTTCTTCTGAAAGTAGTACAAACTAATCTGATCTACCTATTAAAGTCTACTTTAAGCTTTAAGTCAATAAATCTTCAATACTACTGAACTGGAGTACATTAATTTTATATCATTATAAAGGGAGTTGAAAGACCTTTAAAATAAGGTATCACTCGACCCCCCTTTCCATTTAAGATTTTAGGGTTGGTGTCACGCCCGCCTAGGGGGCTGCACGTGTTAACGTGATTTTCTGCCAAACTTGTGTCTCCCTCGAAAACGAAATCGACGGGTCTGACCTTATATATATATATATATATATATATAGAGAGAGAGAGAGAAAGAGAGAGAGAGAGAGAGAGAGAGCATGATCATGCAGAGAAAGGTATAAAACAAAGGGTAGGGAAATATCGCTTGTGTTACCCATCCTATTTTTTGCTCGAATCCACTTCCCACCTTTTTGTGGATTTTGCCCATTATTTTACTACTTTCTGTTATATACCTTTCCCCGAATGATCATTTTCTCTTTGTAGATCCTTTGGGCTTGAAATACCACAGCAAGTGGCTATAACCGGCAGCGTGGTTGTGGGTAGATGTCTTCTTGAAAATTCGAGGTCTTCTAGCCATTTTATTGTTTGTAGGTAGGCATGTATATCTATCTTTTGTAGTTGCATATGTGCATTCATTTCGGGCCTGATGAAGCCAACCAGCAGAAAAATACGTATCGCTCGGGTTATCTATCCTATTTTCTGCTCGAATCTACTTTCCTCATTTTTGCGGATTTTGCCCATTATTGTCCTCGGAGTCCGACTTAGCGAGGAATCTAAATGTTTGAGCCTTAACTGACTAATTTGCCAAAAGGGGAATTTTCCAGTTTCCTTATTTAATTTACAATTCTTGGACTTTGTTTTAATGCTTGTGAACAAAACATGGAAGACACTTTTTATTTGTATGACAGTAAACTTCTTTCATATTGTGTTCTATTTTTTAAGGAAACGTATCCATAATTTCTAGTAATAGAAACTGTAGATAATGAAGTCACTTAGACTTCAAATCTTCCTTCGCTCATGAGCGGAAAGTAGAGGAATAATGAGAATCCATTAAATAATTTTAGTTGTTCATATTAGGGAACTTTCAATGTGCAAAGTGTGCCCCCAAAAAATTTTTCCAGCTCCGCCTATGGTAAAAATATAGTGTAAAACCCAGATAAATTATACAATAAAAAAAACTTGGCTGGCCTCGCGACTGAGGACGCCATGCCGTATCCCCTATTTTACTTTCCCTTTTCTCACATAACCAATGGATAAATGAAAGAATGATGCATTATATTTATCATATATTACACAAACTATAAAATAAATTAAATATATTACTCTGCAAATTTAAAATCTAAATAAATTAAATAACTCTAATCTGTAACTATACAAAAAGAAATCTCTACACCATAAAAAGTTCATACAACTAAAACTTGGAAGGTTATATGGCAAGTAAAAAATGGAATTATACGTGAAATGCATGCTATTCAATGATCTAAAGTAAATCCAAATAACGACGAATCGTATAGTTCCTTACATATAGTCTTAGTCAAAATTTGAGATTTTCATAAATCACTATGTCCGGTAACTTTCGTAAAATTTTAACATTCAACTCTGGATAGACATTCACACTTTGATTTTAGACAATACCTATTTTGATTAGAAAATTTCGATGTTGCATTTGGGGTGGATATTTTTCTAATTTATATAACGTCTGCTCACCTCAATCACATCATTATTAGGAGAAGACATTTATTTAGTTAATAATTTATTTAGTACCTAGCGCTGTCCTATCAATTGCGATAATGGACAAACACCACGAAAATCGATTCTTAGGAATTTGGATAATTATTTCACGTCTAAATGTTCATCTAATCCATATGTCTGCTATATAACTACAAAATCATATTATGTTTTCTAAATATACATATATGCGATTTACGTCTACACTTTGGTATGTTAGAGGAAAATTGGCAGTAAAGATTCATTGTAATTTCTTGAAAGGACCGGGCCCTATCGTTGTTTAAATAAGCCAGATGAAAATGTTTCAATGAGTGTTCTAGTAAGATAAATATCTCAGTAATTATTAAAATCATATAAAAGTATATGTTTATGACTCTTGCTGTAACAGTTCTACCATCAACATGATAAAAAATTGAACTGTTCCCAGTGAACATGGTGACGCCAAAATAGCGCTATTTCTATGACGACAAAACGCCCTTTAAGGCTGTCTTTTTGACGTCTTTTTTAGGACAATCAGTACTGAAAAATCAACACTTACCTACAAAGAAAATATAGACTTTCAATGAACAGTAAGGTAAACTGCAGGGTGGCCAATATATAACTGACTGATTTAAATTGCGCGCCATTTTTGATACACGCATTTCAGTAGGTGGCAGCGTAGTGGTTGTTTAAAGCACACGTGTCGAATTCATCATGGAGCGCTACACGATCCCACAACGCGTCCGTATTGTTAAAATGTTTTACTTGAATAATGAGGAAAATATCGAGATAGTTCGTGAAGGTGTAGTGGAACGCCCTGAGACGTCTACCAGACATCGTTCTCAAGAACTGGGTATTCGTCGCACGTCATTATGCACTATTTTAAAAAAGACTTGCATTTGCGGCCTTACAAAATTCAGTTGACACAAGAACTGCAGCCTAGTGGCCATGAAAGTTGCCGACAATATAGTACTACAATATTGCAGCTAAATACCCAAAATAACGATTTTTACCGAAAACTGATAATGATTGATGAAATCCACTTCTAGGCAATTAGAGAACCCTCGTGTCATTCATTAACGGCCACTATATCCTCGTCGAGTCACAATTTGGTGCGGTGTTTATACGACTGACCTGACTTTTTTATGGGGATTTTTGAAAAATACTGTTTATGCCAACAAATGAAATACTGAAGCTGAAGAACGATATTCCGGAAGCGATTGAAAACATTATTCCCGAAACCTACCAAACAGTGATGGAAAATGTAATCAAGAGATCTCAAGTTTGCGCGGCTTCTAGAGGCGGACATTTGTCTGATTTCATTTTTCATACAGAATTCATAAGTTTCAACAAAAGATTAAGATAAAAAAATTGACGTATTTTATTTTATTTCACAAATATTCAAGATACAAACCAGTCAGTTACATGTCGCGGTCACCCTGTATATATCCAAATACACAACTACTTTATCGTTATTTATAAAAATGTATCAGAAATTCTCGACCAAAAATATCTTGTTAATATGACCTTTCTAATAATAATTTTCCATGTTCAGGTATTTCAAATTTTCATTTTGCATCATGGTTTATTCCCGTAAATCACTCCTCTATACAGGGTGTCCGCAAAGTTGGGGTTTTCCTTTACACGACGTGTAGATCTTGAAAACATAAGCAATTTTTCTTAGTTCCAGATACACCAATGTCTTAAGGGAACCGAGATAAAGAGCTCTGCAACATCAAAAATATCTGAATACCGTCCTGTAGCCGCGACCCGGGACATCACCGATTGGTACAAGGTCTCAACCCGACGGCAGAACTGGGTCGGGGTCAGTGTGTCAGGTCAGTATGCAACCTTCAACAGACGGTTACGGTCACGCATCAAGAGGTAATCGCGTAGACGAGAATCCCTCAACAAGCACTAGAGACGTGGCTAGAGAAGTGCAAGTATCAAAAACTAAAGTGTGGCAAACGCTGCGTGAAGAGGGGCTGTATCCGTTTCACGTCCAACGTGTACAAGCCCTTCAACCTGATGATTTTCCAGCAAGAGTGCGGTTTTGTGAATGGTTGTTGCATCAACATGACAATAAACCGGACTTTTTGAAGTGCATATTGGTGACAGACGAATCTACATTCACGCGTAATTGGGTGAATAACTTTCGCAACACTTATATTTGGTCAGTAGAAAATCCGCACGCTGTCCGTCGGGCACATTTTCAACAAACATTTTCGGTGAATGTTTGGGCTGGCATGGTGAACGGGATGCAATACCTAGACTTTTACGCAACATTTTGCCTTCCTTGTTAGAAGATGTGCCATTAAGTGTAAGACAATCAATGTGGTTTCTGCGTCTGCTCGGTAGCGCTTCAGCTGATTTCATTTTCTGTTGGAGCGGTATGATTTCGGGCGGAGACGTACTTAGCCCTTCTCGTCAACTGGAGAGTGAGTACTTTTTCCTTTATTTTTTTTTTACTTGGTCGCCCTCGTTTCACTACACATTACCTTTGTTATTTCAAGGATAGTTGTTTCTGAAAAGGAAAACCCCAACTTTGCGGACACCCTGTATAGCAATAAACAAGTTTTACTAGAATATTATTTGTACTTGAGCCCGATGAAAAATCAAATTTTGGAACGGTATATCATTTAGCCGAAGAAGCACGATTGTTGCTTGGCGGCGAGCTCGTACGATGCTTCATGCGTGTTCGCGGTTTGGCAGTTCAGGCATTTTGTTTTATAAATCCATGGGTTTGACCAACATCACGATTGCTTCATCATCTTTAACCTACATTGTGGTACAATTTAGTAGGGACGATAATATCGCCACATAGTCAATAAAGCTTGAGTGACACCCAGAAAACAAGAACTGTTTTGGCCTCCTGTGGAAAAGCAAAGCGATTTTTATAAACTGCTACAAGCAAATTCTGAAGCATTGGAGGACTGGAACGTTTGTTAGATCAAACAGTATTTTTTAGTTCTTCAATAACCACTTCGATACACTTTGTACAAATAATGCTCCTAAAAAATTGCGGAGTGGGGAGAGGTCTTGATCGACACGTTCGGGTTCGGCGTGCGAGTTAAATAGTCACAATGGAACGTGCTTTTGCTATTGAGGCTTACTTTAAGAGCTGTGATGCATTCGCAGCTGCCCTTCGGATATTCTGTACACGATACAACATTCGCCGACCAAGAGATGCCCAAGTAAGAACCTATTGAAAAAGGATCAAGAAGTTCCGTGAAACAGGATCTACTCCTAGTCAACCCATTCCTGGCCCCGCACCTACTGTATCAACCAAAGAAAATGTGCGTCGAGTAAGGTCATTGCAAATCCTCGGCGTTCTGTATGGAAACATTCCGCTGCTTTGGGAATCTCTAGGTCAACACTCATGGCATAATGAAGAAAAAACAAAAGGGTTTTCATCCTTATAAAATCTAATTAGTCCATGCTTTAAAGGAAAGTATTACGGAAATCGTGTGCTGAACGGATGTTGAATCTTCTTCCTACGCACCGTAGACTCGAGCACGTTGTTTTCAGTGACGAGGCCCATTTTAACTTAGACGGTTATGTGAACAAGCAAAATTGCAGATATTGGGTACCAAAGAATCCAAAATAGAAACATCAACAACAGCTATATAGTCCAAAGGTGACTATTTGGTACTCCATATCCTCTAGCGGTAATACTGGGCCGTATGGCTTTGAAGATGAAAACAGTCATGCATTGACAGTCAATTCCAAGCTATACAAGCACATGATTGACACTTTTTGCTCCTATTGTAAGAACAAAACGTCGATTTAACAGAAACACATGCTTTCAACAGGATGGGGCCACTGCCCATACTTCCAGAGAATGCATGGACACGGTGAAAACACTTTTTCCTTAAAAAGTTATATCAAAGTTTGCAGACATTTACTGGCCTCCTAGGTCACCCGACCTCACGCCATGCGATAATTTTTTGAGGGGTTATTTAAAGTCAAAAGTGTATTCCAATAATCCACGGACACAGGAAGCATAAAGACAACATTCGACGAGAAATAAAGAATATCTCTCCGGAACTCTGCAAGATTAGAAGAGTGTGTCCGAAGGGGTGGCAAGCATTTGGACGGGACTATGTTTAAAAAATAAAAACCGCCGAATTTACGAATATATTTATAGTAATAAATATGTTCTTTCCATTGAATTTATGTTTTTTTTCTTAAATCAAAATGTGAACTTTCTCACTGGACATACTGTAGAATATGAGTTTCGGCGCCTTTATATCACTCCTGAACTGACTGCTTGTGGGGCGTCGTTGTCACAATCTAAATTTTTCAGGAACATTTGGATACACCGCGCGATTATTTTTGCGAGCGACTGTACGTCATTCCGACTTTGTATTTGGTCTTTTATACGACATACCCGACGTCATTTGGGTGTGGCATTAGACCCGCATTATGACGTAATTTCTACGTCATTTTTGTTGGTCGACGTACATAAGTAGTGCCCTGATAATTTCAACATTATGATGTCACTATGTTCACTGGAATTCCTGAAGAAATAAAATATAACAGGGTATATATAACAGCTCATGCAACAACTTTTGGACAGAATACCCTGTACTTCCTGTAGTGTCCCAAATATTATTTAAATAGTTCTATATGTTCATATATAGATTCAAGTATATTTTTGTAGATATGGAATGGATTCATTACATCACACATTTAGTTCAGAGACTGCCATTGGCTAATTTCGAATTGTCTGAGAAATATTCTACTAATGCAGTGATTCATATATTAAACAGCTATCGTCAATATTTTACATTATTATTGTGCATAATATTACCAGTATCACTATATTCTTGGGCACCAACTAAAGGAACTATGGAAACATATGTGGGTAAAAATGAATATAATGGACAACCTCTATTAGTAAAGTGGTCAACTCGCTATGTTGAAGATTGGAACCTAAACATATCAAATTTTATCTTTAATATGCAAATAAACAGGGTGACCGGTAAATAGTACGACAGAAAAATGGGGAAGACAGGCGAAACGCAGATCTACAACATACCAAAAAATGCCCCTAGTAAAAGTTTCACTGTTTCTGAGATATTCATTTTTATTTTGTCTTTTTCGAAAAATTTCCTCGTTTGATCCACCTTTTGTTGCTGATTAAGCAGGTAATTTAGCGCAATACTTTGCAGTAGCAGTCTAGTACATTTTTATTTCATTGCTGTTTACCTACTTGTATTTATCGAAAATGATATTTCAAAAGGCAGACCAACTATCTGAGAATATTTTGCAAAAAAAAAACAAACAGATATCCTGTTATGTCTAGGCACAGGAACAAAAGATAGATTAAAAAAGAGAGACAAAAAAATATCTCATAAACAGTGAAATCATATCGTCCCTATTTTTTTGTCGTACTATTTACCGGACACTCTGAATACATTTCTTTTACATGCGGCCATTTAAACAAAGTGTGTCAAATTCGACCCTCACCATTGGAAACTGCAAGAGATAGGTCGCTTAAATGGGGGCAAAGTTGCCTATTTAGGTAATCAACAAAATGCCGCTTAGAAAGTTTCGAAGTTCAAAGTGCAAAGGGTACTATAAAAGGCCGCATGTTACTGCCTGTTGAGACGTGTCCATGAGTGCATAGTAGCCGCCAGCAGCATGTATGTTGATTTAGATGTTCATTCGTGTTGACGGTGTAAAGTGCGGACAATGGCATCGTACTCGCGTAGTGGAATAAGGGCAGTTTTACGGTATTAATTTAGGCGTGGCTTAATCATAGACCAATGCTTGTATTAAAGAACGATTGTCCTCATCGTACGACTATATTCAGGTGGTACAAGAATTCCAAAGGGGGCAACTTCACTCTTCACTCTGTACATGCGTGAATCTAGAATCATATTTCATGTGTTATATTGTTTGTTTACTAGAAGGATTTTAAACGTTGGTGGGCGGTTCCATCCCGCAAACGACCGCCTTCATGACGCTAGCCGCCGCGAGTGCCGCATACGGTTGCCATTCTTTCCTCCTGGTGCCATCTTTGTAATCTGCGATGCCTCTCACGCACACGAAGCTTTCCTTGCAGTTTCCCAGGATGGATTCGATCACTGGGTCCACTTCGCAATCGAAGGCTAGCGCGCCCGCCTTGGAGGCGAACTGCTGACGGAGACGGTCGTCTCTAACTACTTGCCGGCCGCTAGCTACTGGTGACAGGTGGATTCGGGGGCAGCCTTCTAGCCTGTGGAAAAAATATTATTAATCCTAATGTAACGGGAAATAAAGTAAAATTGAATCCAATTTCTGTACAAAGGAGATAAGCTTTATACAATAAAGTACTAGCCAATAACTTAAAACCACAGATGCTGATTGGAGTCTCAACTGCAAAATACGAAAAAAATAGTAGATAATAGATAGAGATAGTCCAAACTGGGATAAGGCTTGGAATTTGGTTGGCTAGCAGATTAAAAAACTGGACATTTCAGGCTCCTTTTAGAATGAGGGAATTATAGGCTTAAGTGATCTCGACCTACTAATGATAATAAATCCCTATCGCTACTAGTATTGTATTTATATTCATATAATATTCTAAATGAGACAATGTGGATGTTATTTGTTTAAGATTTATTTAGCATGATATGTTCCGAGGTGAAAATATACTAAGTGAAATATAAATCCGAACACCCAGTTTAAATGGTTTTATTTTAATAAAATTTTGTATAAGTACTTAATGAAGCATAATAAGTAAATGATAAAAATTTCAAAATGATTGCACTGCTTTAAAGCCCTTTGAACTTTAATAATGTGTGGATGCACCCTGATGTGCTACGCATTCTCCAACGCGCCTAGGCATGCTTCTGATCAGGTGGTCAATGTCCTCCTGTGGTATCTCATTCCAGGCAACCACCAACTCCTCTCGAAGTGCTTCTAGAGTCTGAGGAGGACGTTGCAAATTGAGCAATCTCCTACCCATCATATCCCACACGTGCTCAATTGGGGATAAGTCGGGAGATCTTGGTGGCCATGGTAACAATGTGACATCATTATGTTGAAAGAAGTCTATTGTGACTCTTGCAACATGTGGTCGGGCATTATCTTGTTGGAAAGTTGGATCTGCCAGGGTGTCAAGATAGGGTAAAAGATGGGGTTCTAGAATTTCGTGGATATAACGCTGCGCGTTCATGTTACCTCTGATGAAGATTAAAGGTGACCTGGAACCATAAGCTATAGCACCCCAAACCATAACTCCAACAGTGTGATGAACATGTCTTTCAACAAAAAACTGTGGATTCCTCCTTTCATCACGTCGCCTTCTAACCCTGGCACGACCATCGTGCATGCCTAAACAAAATCGAGACTCGTCACTAAAGACAATACTGTTCCATTCCTGATCCCAGAGTGACCGTTGACTGCACCACTCAAGGCGATTACGTCGGTGTTCTCGAGTTAAAGGGAGGACCCGGTGTGGCCGGTATGAAAACAAGCCAAAACTTCTCATTCGTCGGTAAACACTTCGCATGCCAATAGGTCTTCCGTGTTCTGCAAACCATTCATTTGCAATGGACCTGGTGGTGGAGAAACGGCCCCTTAAGGCCAATAATCTTAGGCGGCGATCTTCACGGTCTGTTATTCTACGGCGGCGTCCAGTGCCCCTTGCTCTTTGCGTACGGCCTTCTCGAAGCCATGCCTGACAACACCTAACCACAGTGTCTACACTTCTTTGCACTCTAACTGCAATTGCCCGAAAAGAAAGTCCAGCTTCCCGAAGTCCCACTATACGACCCCTATCAAACTCACTAAGTTGACGAAATCGTACAGGTCACCGTACTCTAGGCATCGTAACCGATCGTAAAGGATGTCAAGAACCAAAATCCGCCAACGTTGATTCTTTACTGCGGCTGAAATATTCATTTTAGAGCGTTAGTGAATTAAAAAAAAGCAGTATAAAAACCGGAATGTCCAACTGATAAGGCTGAAAATTTTTTCACTTGTTATTTAAAGTAAGATAAATACATTCACAACTTTTATTAAAATAAAACCATTTAAACTGGGTGTTCGGATTTATATGTCACTTAGTATATGTTTAATGAGAGAGAATCAAGAGAAATGACAATTATTGACTTTGAAACGTTACGAGAGTCACTCTTACAAGCCAATATCACTGAAATTTTCAATGATGCTGACACATCTCCAAAATTATGGATTGTATCTAGAACTGCATGAGAGACGCACAAATTACGAAAGTGGTATATCAAAGGCCAACTCTCTGGTTTTCACAAATATTTCTAGACTCTAAATTGACGCGTGATAATGACTATAAAAGTTTTTGATCACTCAAACTGATGAAGATTGGATACAATATAAGAAATCAAGTAACCAGTGTTTAACAAATCTTAGGAACGAAAAGAAAAAATATGAAAACAAAATCGACAGAAATAAAAATAACAGTAAAATGATGTGGAAGACACTAAAAAATATTGTATCTCCCAGTAGGAAGAATGAATTATCAAGAATGTGTTTCGAAGATGGTATAGTAACACAGAAAATATTGATTGCAGAACAAATGAACGCTTATTTTATAGAAAGTATAAATGAGATAGTGGAATCAATCGAAGATGGGGATCCAAATCTATGTCACATGCAAGTTACTTGTAATTCTTCTATGAGACAATTCCCAACAATAAATATCAGCCATCTTTCAAAAGCTATTACAAGATTGAAATCGAATAGAAATCCTTGTGAACATCTTTCAAAAATTGTTATGAAGGAATGTTTCAACATTATTATTGTTAGTGAATCACTGTTTAGTGTATTTCGAATTTCCTTCAAAATTAAAATTTTCTACACTTACTCCTGTTCCAAAAGTGCAAAATTCTGAGTTATATACAAACATGCGTTAATGTACTGCCAGATGTCGAGAAGCTCTTAGAGGCAATCATATATGAACAACTCATTGAATATATTGAAGAAAATAAAATACTGACATTTCAAGCAGGATTCAGAAAAAAGTATTCTACTGAAACTGCAATTCAAATGGTAGTAGAAGAATGGAGGCGAAATATGGATGAAAAAAAGTTTACAGTAACACTGTTCTTAGATTTCAAGAGAGCATTTGAGACTAGTGACAGGGAGAAAATGTTAACGAAATTGCCTTGCTATGGATTTCAAGGTTCAATATTCAACTTATTACAAAATTATTCAATCAATAGAAGTCAAAGAACTAAAATTGGCAATACATTATCAAACATTAAAAACATTTCGGTAGGTGTGCCACAGGGTAGCAAATTAGGCCCATTACTATTTATTTTATATACATATTAACGTTATTCCTGATATTTTACAACACTGCAAAATTCAACTATTTGCTGATTGAAACTGCAATAGAGCTGTTAAATAATGATATGAAAAACGTAATAAATTGGTTAAATGTAAATAAACTTAAACTAAGCACAAACAAAACAAAATATATGCTAATAGGAAAATCTTTAGATCAAAATACGATAAATCTTACAATTAATCATAAAAAATCAATCGAATCATTTAAATATTTGACCATATACGTAGACAGTAAATTAAAATTTGAAGGGCATTATGAATATATTATTTCAAAAATATCCAAGAAAATAAATTACTTTTATAAAATTTCGCATAGCCTAAGCGTTTATTCTAAAAAAATTGTGTACAACACTATCATTCTTCCTCATTTGTTATATTGTTCGACCATTTTGTTCACTGCAAATGAGAATCATTTAAAAATAAAAATAAATATACTAGAATAAATTTTATGCTGAAAGAACTACAATGGTTAAATATCAAAAATTTCATAGCCTACTTGGTTTTCATTTTCATATTCAAGTTAAAAAATCATCTTCTACCAAATCACTTAGAAAATTTTATTGTCTTGAACAACGTGTGCCACAATTATTCTACTAGAGGAAGTATAGACTTTCATTTAGAAAACTGCAGTAGTATATAACGAGCAAGTCAGTATTTCAAAAGGGATTGTACGAATTTATTAAATTAAGTTATGACATAAAGATGTGTGTCAGTTTGAAAATGATCAAAGGGAAATTGAAAAAATATCTCATGGAAAACCAGAATTCATAGTAGTGAAATTTTGTATAAAAATATGTAGTCTTGAAGACAAAATATATTTTGTGATATACTGTGTAATACGGAAATTATGGACATTGTAGCATTAATGCTAAATCAATCTGAAACAAACAAACAAATTACTACAATTACACTCTTTCAAAAAACTACAACAATTAGATAACATTCAGATATTTATAAAAACAAAATTTGCATCTCTAAGAATTTTCACTGTCCATGAAATATTCCTTTAATTTTCTTTCAAACATCTTTAAATTACAAGTAGATTTTATATCATTATTTAGTTTATTAAATTCAAGTAATCCTTTCTGAAATAATGATTTGTTAGTTTTATTACTATTGTAATTTTGTAATCGAAAATCTATATTTCCTCTTGTATAATGATTGTGGTTACGATTATTCAATTCTATGTAGTGTTCTAAATGTTGATTTTTTATTTTAAATATAAAAATAAGAACCAAATATGATAGGAATTTTTTTATATTCAACCACTGGAATTCTTGTGACATAGATTTTATTTTGGTGTAATTATTTTTATTCAACATTATTGTCATAGCTTTATTTTGCAGGACTTGCAATCTTGAGAATACAGCTTCATTGGCAGTGAATAAGATAGTTGAACAATATAGTAAATGCGGTAGAATAATTGTATAAAAATTTTTTGCTTTTTTGTCAATTTTTGAAATAATGTATTCATAGTGATCCTCAAACTTTAGTTTATTATCAAAATATATTTACCTAAACATCTAATTGATTCAACATTTTCAGTTATTTCACCATTTATCCTAACTGTGATAATATTTGCATTTAGATATTTCCCTATTAGCATACGAGTATATTTTGTTTTGGATGCATTCAATTTTAGTTTATTTACATTTAACCAGTTTATGATTTTTGCCAAGTCAGAATTTCGCATTTTTGAAGCAGTGTCATGACAAAATCTCACTCTTACTTGATTTGATTTCAATTGTGGTATAATCTTCTTGAGACAATTAATGTTTATTGTTCTAAACTCACTGAATAATGCAGTATAATCTGAACTAATGAGACATTGGTTGTCACTTTCTTTGAAATAGGTACTCATTCGATCTGCTGTTATTTTTTCATTCGTCATTACTCCATCGTAGAACTTCATTTTAGATAATGTATTTCTTCTAATATGAGACAACAACCACTCTAATATGGCTGAACGGATCTGGATCGAATTTGGTATAGAGAAAGATTATAGTCTGGAATAGAACAAAGGCTTTATATTTCGGGCAATAACTTCGAAATATCTATTTCATGGGATACAGTCCAAACGGCGTAATGGAAATTGACACGCTGGTCCGTCTGAAATGACTAAGCAAATATAAACAAGGCGTTCCTTTTATTAGCGTGATCGCTTCGATTTAAATTTGTTTTGTCTTACTTCAAGTATAGTAATTAGTTATTTGGTCAGGGTATGTTAGGATATGCCATACAGGCTGTGAGATACTTACATACATATTATTTAACAGGAATCTGATTACATATTTGATATTAATGTATGGTTGCATTAAATTGTTGAAAAAATGACCATTGCCAAAGTTACTATTACATTTCTTTTCCCGAAAGCAATCTCCTTCACACTAATGCAAAGCGAATGACCTATACTTTACACTACTTCCACGTGGGTGGAGCCGCTGGTGCAGACTAGTATTAAATATGTTTAGAAAACAAGAGCTGAAGTAAAATACGGTATAATAAGAGGAAAATTGTTCCATCTGATTATATGAAGTTGAACAACGACTGTTTGTCCATTGGAGACTTTTCTATAAATTTTATTCTGAATAAACATCAATAGGTAGTTTGCCTTCAAAAAATATATTCTGAATATTTCCATACGTTTCTGTAAACAAGTTCACTCGTAAACTTTTGTATCTGTTATAGCGTGACGTAACAAGAGTAGCTTTTCTTCTGGCCCACTTTATGAGACACTCTCACCTCATTTAAAATCGCCTCATATGCCGAAGTGTTCCATTTATCAAAGTGGGGTGACGACGTTCTCCCCCCCCCCCTTGCCCCTTCGTACAAGCTTCAGTGAGATTTTTAGCTCGCCTGATTGGACGGTTAGAGCCTATTATTAACAATCGACTCATTATTTAAGTAAAACGTTTTAACAATACGGACACATTTAAATCCGTCAGTTATATATTGGCCACCCTGTATTAAAAATGCTGTTTTTTTAGGTAGAAAATAACCGATTCCTACTAATATTCTGAAAACTTACGAGGTATTCTATAAATTTTTTCTTTGATGTATATGAATGAAAGCAGTTTCAGCGTGATATAATTAAAATATAATAATACCAATCTATACATAGAGAGCAAAGTAAAATTTAAATAATTTGTAATTTCACTTTACGCGCCCTACATATTCTGAAGTGCCATATATATATCAAAAAGCTGCTCAAACTACTGGGTGTAATATTGTTTCGGAACGGCGATTGTTGAACATTTCTTATGTATCTACAAGTTGTACTTCTTCATTTCTCAATTTCACAAGAGTATTATAAAAAATGTTCATCGCCTTCCTATCTACCCACCATTTTGATGTCAAATAAAAAACTGTAAATATACTAGAACTGAAAAGTGTGATGCCAACTCCTAATTTGTGACAGCCCACCTATTCAATTTTTTCTTAAGTATTTTCTTCGGAGTTAGTGTTCTTGACAATGGCTTCCTTGCAATCATTGGTCTAGCAGGTGGTTTACGTATCTCCACCTTCTTGACAGACCTTCAGTTCACAACAACAGATACAACATGAAGCAACGATGATGGATGGGTAATAAATAAGGACTCTTTCTAATGCCACGACCACCACTTCAATGAATAATCGGAATGCATTGTTTTAAAGATAGCAATTCCTGTAATTTCAACTTCTCAAATTTGGCAACTAAAAGAATCCTTTCTCGTTTAGCTTCGATTTATTGATGAAAAAATAATATTCAATGCAATAATTACCTTTTAACAGAGCTATCTTGGGGCGTAGGATGTGCGACTTCAATCAAATCTCTTTCTCCAATGCTCATGTACAGTTTATCAGTCTCGGAACTTGGAGGCCTGGAAACATAGAACCTCAAGATAATGTACAAGATAAAAAAATATAGGAATTAATACATACCTGAAGTCGGGTTCAGTTTGGGCGCTTAATGTGTTCAATCCATCTCTCAAATAGTTCATCCACGGCGGAGTGGCCGTAGGATCACTGTCCGCGGCAGCTTTGAGCTGTTGTGCGATTTCTTGTAGGATGAGGTTGGAAGGTTTGTACGATTTGGTCTCGAACTCGAAGCCTTTATCTTTGCATATGGCGTTTTCACAGTAGATATAAACACTCCTGAAAAGAAACATTAATAAGCACCAATACAAAAAGCAGAATTTTAGCTTAGCTAACATGAACAAATTTCCAGTCTCATAGGAAAATGCCGGAGTCGTAAGACATCTGAAATAAATGAATAAATGAATAACGTTTATTGGCCAACACTTAAGGAAACCATTTACTGGAGGATCGTAAGATAAATCAAACTAACAGAAAAAGAGTTTATGCAAGAAAATAATTGACGCACACTTCCTTCTCAGCTCTAAAGATTGCATCTGAAACCTAGAGACCTAGACAATAACAAACTTTCAGATATACCCTGCTCAGGATACGCACCGTCGACTTTAAAAGATAAAATTTTTAGAAACTTCCTCTGAACGTGCTAAAGAGAATAAATATAGCAGTTCAGCAGTTGTAAATTGGGTTCCAAATTAACGATGCATATTCCAATTTCGATCTAGTACAATACAGAGTACAAAACCAACATTAACTCTAGGTGGCTGAAGCTTCTGCAGTTTCTGACAATAAAACCGCACGCCTTGAAATAGAAGTGAAAGGACGGGGGCTCGCTACGGTCCATATCTCGTCAATACGATGGTAATATACAGGGTTTGTCCGGAAAGTAATAGGACTCATTTTCTTCCGCCATGACTGTACTTTGGAGCGTGCGCGTACCGACTGGATTCGGTAGAGGGCGTTCCTAGCTAACGAATGAGCGGCTGGTCAGTTGTCTCCGAGCACTTGGAGAGTCAGGACAGGCATTTTCGCGCGACGTGTTTCTATGAGTGGTGCAAGCCGAAAAGGCAGCGTTCGTTAGAGCAGAGGTACGCGATTAAATTCTGTGTGAAATTCGGTAAATCTGCGACAGAGACGTTTGATATGATCAAGCAGGCTTACCCAGGTGTTGCTTTAGCAAGAAGTGGTGTGTTTCGGTGGCACCAAGCCTTTTTGGAGGGCCGGGAAGAAGTCGCTGATGAAGACCGTTCTGGAAGACCTTCGACATCGACAAACACCGATAATGTGACTCGTGTGCGCAAAGTTTTGAACTCAGACCGTCGAATAAGTATTCGTTTAATTGCCCAGATGTTAAATTTACCAAAATCTGTGGTTCATGACATTGTAACACAGCATTTGAACATGCGCAAGGTGTGTGCGAAGATGGTCCCAAAAGTGCTGACGACCAGAAATTGCGGCGAGTGGAAGTGTGCCAAGAAAATTTGAACATGTGTGAAAGTGACCCCCAATTTTTGAATAACGTAATTACAGGTGACGAGTCGTGGATCTTTGAGTATGATACCGAGACAAAGAGGTAATCTTCCGAGTGGCACACGACGGCGTCTCCTCGCCCAAAAAAGGGAAGAATGAGCAAATCCAAAGTGAAAACGATGCTCATTGTCTTTTTTGACATCAAAGGCATCGTCCACCATGAATTTGTTCCTCCTGGACAAACCGTCAACGCCAAGTTTTACGTGGAAGTGCTCAAGAGACTCAAACGAAGGGTCAGTCGGGTCCCCGGACTTTTTTTTGTTTCCTCGCCTGAAAAGGCCGATGAAAGGCAAGCATTTTGAGACGACAGAGGGGATCCAAGCGGCATGCACCGCGGCTCTCAAGGCTATTCCGGAGAATGCCTTCCGTGACGCCTTCAATACTTGGAACTCGCGCTGGCAGCGCTGCATCGACGCAGAAGAAGCCTATTTTGAAAGTTTTTAAAGAATTGTAACCATTAGCTCAATAAATTTTTTTAAATCGACTCAGTCCTATTACTTTCCGGACAAACCCTGTACCATGACGAACAAAGCGCGCCGTAACGCTCATCCGGTTTCGATGGATGGCCGAGTTTTACCAAAGAGCTGAGGACTTGATCTGGCAGGAACGCATCTCGTCAATAGCGGCGGCTGCTGAGAAAAAGATAGACTATTTGTTTCTCCGCATGACATCCTCACTCTGTACAAGACCCAGATAAGACCTGGCCTCGCGTATTGCTCACATGTTTGGGGGCTGCTTTTTAGAGGAGGGCTGTACCATTTATCGATGAATCGATTACTCTTCTCTATCGGACAGTCTCGGGACCCCTTTGCACCGCGGCGTCCGCGGTCTAGCTCTCTTCTACTGCTACGCCAATGAGGTTTGCTCCTCAGAGCTCTCCTTCATGATGCTGCCGCGCGATGTGCCTGCCAGGCAGACACGCCTGACTTCGGCCTAGCATTCTGGCCTTGACGAACTTCATACATCCAGGATTGGCCGATACGACTGCTCCTTTGTCCATAGGGTATCGAGATTGTGGAACAATCTACATTAGGAGGCTTTTCCCAGTTCTACAAACCTAAGACAGTTCAAAAATCTTTGGCGCAAAAATAATGTAGGCATCATGTCAAAACGAGAAGCTTTGTTGGCGTCCATGAAAGTAATTGCGAACAGCATGGTTGTATCGGTTTCTCGACTCGGTGTTAGTAGTTACTGAGATTACACGGTGACATTGAAAAAAAATTGAATCTAAAACTCACTTATCTTTCCCAGGATAGGACACCACGACGTCTCCGAGTCTGACATGTTTATTATAATCGGTGTAGTGCGGAACTCCACCACCGACGCCCACCAGGAAAACGTGCTCCACCTTCTGGAAGGTACCCAGCAGCCTGGTGGTAGTATTCCCGGCAGCAGTGGTCGCCTCTCTGGTGTGACCAACCGCAGGCAGTTTCGTGGAGACTATGCGATGCGCACCGATAGTGCCGAGCGTGTAGACGTTGGATTCACCTGGAAAATTGACTCAGTCAGTACTAATTTCTTTATGCAGCTATTAAGCAGCTGATATTTCCGTTGTGCTAGTGCGTGCTCTATTGTTTTCTTTTGCAATGTTTTCATGTGATGTACCACAAAATACCAATCATATATAGTAGCGGACAAAAGTTTTGAAACACATATTATCATTATTACGAACTGTTTCATATACCTAAATTAAAATTGTGAAGGAACAGATAATATACATATTAAAATCTAGCTTTGGCTCCCGTACTAATACAAGGTTTATCTTATCGACATTCAAATTCTATGAAAATAATACCACGCGTTTTTTTAAATACCACAGTGTTTTTAACGACAAAAGTATGGAAACATTTAAGTTTTTCCGTATTTATTCGTTCTGCGATACTCTGATATTGCGTGCAGTAAATATTAACATCAGTGAGAATGGCAAAAGTAAAAGGATTTTCAAAAGATTTAAGTGACAAGGTAATTGAATTATTTAGAAGTGGTGTCGGAAATGCCGACAGTTCTCAAAGATTAAAAATGAAAAAAGGGACGATTTCGAAAATTATTAGTAAATATCAAGAATACGGTCATCAAAAACCTTGCAAAGATATTCTTAGTGCTCCCTTTTGCTGAAGAAGAAGTGCCTTTACGATGGACATTCCAGCAAGATAATGACCCTAAGCATACCTCAAAATTCGTAAAGGACAGGTTGAGACTAAAAAATGATGTTCTCACATGGCATTCGCAATCCCCGGACCTAAACCCAATAAAACATCTCTGGGAGCATGTTAAAAGACAACTGACAAGAAAATATTTTAAAAATAGGAACGATTTTATTTGATTATGTAAAATATATTTGGCAAAACATCCCAACAGACGTCTGTAAAAAATTGTTGTCTTCTATGAGCAGCAGATGTCAGGCAGTGTTGAATGCTAGGGGCTATGCTACCAAATATTAGCTAAACAGTATTTTTTAAACCTGTTTGTAGAGTTATTTATGTTTCCATACTTTTGTCGTCTCATTTTTGGTCATAAAATAATATGAAGGTATTTTAATGCTAGTCTGTATGTAGTACCACAGCAAATTGTCATTTGTATCCTCAAGACTGCAAGCAAATTATATGAGAAAAAAAGAGTCCTTAATAATAAAGGATAACAAATTAGTGCACTTTTTAAAAATTACTAAGAATCTTTCGAAACTTTTGTCCGCTTCTGTAGGTTTTTTTTAATACAAAGTTCTTTTACAATAAATCTTCAAGTATCAAACCTCGCAGAGTGAGTGAATGAGTGGTTGAGTACAAAAGATGCACACGTGTTATTACTCCAAATTATATATTTCCAACATTGTAAGATTAATTTCAAGATGGCCAGTGGCAGCCCTATTAAACTTAAGAGGAGGGCCACCTATGATTATGATTTTGGCAATTTTTATAAACTCATTTATAATAAATACGTTTTTCAACTGCTACGATTAGGACTATTAGAATATTGTATAAATTGGAGTAATTATCATATGATTTGGTTATTGAGAAATACATCGCAGCACTACTGACTAACGAAAATATATTATTTATTCCCATAGACAGTGACCGTTTTGTGTATACAATAAATGGTGCAGTAGCATTTTGCATATAAAACTGTACAAATAGTGTTTGTCACATAAAATCAAACAATAGACATATGAATCCCCATGCAGACGTCACAAATGAAGTACTTTACAAAATGCTGAATGTGGTCAAAGAAACATTAAAAATAATGTATCAATTGCCGCACACGTGTAACAACACAGTGCTTCAAGTTTGCCTTTTATACACAGTGTCCAAATAATATTTTTTCTTGAACCTATGAAAGAAATTATGCCAAGTATCATTCAAATTATAGCTCATTTAAAATTTCAGTAGCACCCGCGACTCACATGACACTGAACCGAATTTCGATAATGATAAAAAAATATATAAGGACAAACAAAACATTAGACTAATTACTGTAAAGATTTGTTTGCCAAGTTTCCTAACTTTAAATTTTGTAGGAGTTTTCTTAAATGAGAAATACGCTATTTATGATTTAGTATCAAAGATATAAAATAATTTCAACTTGAAACAAACATAGCTTAAGTTAAAAGCAGCCTCTGACAAAATTGTGCATGTATCCTAAATATATACAAGACAATCCATAGTGTAATGTGTTTCCCACTATAGTGATATTAAGCTGACAGTGCCTGTGATATGTGAAAAACCTGATAACACATGATTTCATATCTTACCAAAACGGGCTTTTCCACTATCTCCTGTCGGACTCGTCGGACCTAAGTTCAATTTACATTAATCATTTCGAACACCGGAAATAAGTATGACGAGAATTTAAATGAAGGAACAAAAGCCTTTCAATTCTCACTTTTTATAAAGAACACTGTTGCTGAAATTTTATCTTTGTATATTTTGTGAAATAATAGCGTTTATTATACAAGTGAAAACAGTACTAGATTTTAGCTTGAGGTTGTATTGTCTCCCGACACTCTGCGAAGGGAGACAAAAAACAGAAAGAAAGTAAATGTAAAATTTGAATTTGGAAATTAGTAGGCTATGTTGTACTTATAGCGACAATTAGACTTGCATTGCTAAGGAAACTTTTAAAGTAATCAAATAGCTGTCAATTTAATTTTGTGATTTGATTTGAAAATTGTGAACTTAGTGGTTGTTTAGAAGTTATTTTCAATACTATACAAAAAATGTCTGATTCCGAATTTCCTTTGACTCCACGGTAATTAGTAGAAGTAGCCAAAGCAGCGTCACAAAAATTATTGCCAGCTAAATACGTGTTTATACAATATCCGGGAAAAAAGTAATTTCATAAAAAGTGACATTTTGTTACCTGTCAACAGCGATAAAATGTCAAACATTTTCCCGTCACAAAAAAAAACAATATTTATTAGCAATATTCAATTCCTGCAAATGGAAGTTTTCGCATGCCCCTCGTAACGCCAATAGACGCCTATGCATAGACAACTAGTAAGTCATCAACGTTGTTACGTCATTCCTGTCAAATTTCTAACCTCAATTTTCGAACAAAGCAAAAAGCAAACACGAGTTGTGTTTACATCAATTATCAAACGAAAAATGATAACTCCGAGATTTAGTTTGTCTCAAGACGAAGAAACAGTGACTATAACGATCAGAGCTCCGTACTGTTGTCTCAGAGAACTGGAAGCAGAAGTTGATGATAACGCGTTTTTATTCTACTGCAAACCCTACTATCTCAGACTACACTTCCCTGGGAGCATTGTGGACAATGACAACAGAAAAAGTTCATTCGATAGCGACACAGGCGAGTTCACATTCACATACGATAAAGCTATCCCTGGGGAAGACTTTAAAGATCTGGAATTTATAACAAAGTTTCTGGTAACTAAAGTAGATGCTTCCTATGAAGGTGATGAAAGAAAAGTCACCATTTTAGCTAGTGAAACAATACAGGAAGATAAAGAAGTGGATCCCAATGATTTGCAACAGGGTTTTGGGTTTGCCTTACAAAGTCATAAACGATTTGTTGCTATAAGTTCTGAATTCAGTGATGTTCTTGATGTTGATCCTTCAGAATCAAATTTGGAAGAACGGAGGAAGTTAAGATTGCAATATGAGCAAGGAAAGTTCGATATGGGGCACTACTTAGGTGATTTTATTGAAGATGAAGAAATAAATGAAATCATTGCACAAAAAACCCCTTGGTATGCCCTGAATGAAACAGATGTGACATTTAATAACAAAGAACTTGATTTCCTCAAAGATCTACCAAACATTCAGTATACACTAAGCAATTTACAAACGAAATATGCTTATAATGGCCTAATAGATATTCTATATGCTTATTGCTATGATAGAAGATGCACCTTCTATGAAGAGAATTCTGAATCAGGATGGACAATAGTTAAACTTGCTTCAACTTTTTGTTACCTAGATGCGTTTGAAACTCCCAAAGATGCTCTAGTATCTGCGTTCCGCAGAAGTGTCATTTATCCTTTATACAGAAACTATAATCTAACTGTTCAGATACTTAAAGACTTGAAAGATTTGCTGCATTTAGGTGAGAAATATATGATAAAATGCCTTATTGAAATGTATTACATCTTCCTTGGTGGAGATTGCTGTAGATATATCCTGAATAATTTGTTTATCAAAGACTACATAATTTACATAATGACTTGGGATAGGGAAAAGTGGCAAAGCTACTTGAAAGACATTTACACAATAGAAATAAAGAAAGAAGAGTTAGGATTGAATCTTGCTGAAATTGAACAAGGTTTCACTCTGGAAGAGAAGTTGGGAAAACTGGAAATTAAGGACACTGATAGTGATGATAGTTCGGATGACTCAAGTGATGATTCAGATAGTGATAGTAGCGACTCAGATAGTAGTGATAGTAGCAGTACTTTAAATCCTTAAAGTAGTGATAGTAGCAGTACTTTAAATCCTTAAATGCTTAAGAATTTTTTTGCATATCCCAAAGATTGTTCTCTAGCAATTATTTAATCTGTATGATGCCATATTATTTGTTGATAAGCCGACTTAGTGAAACTTTCAGTTGTTGAGTGGAGGCATGTAAAACCTTGCTAGAAATGTGTCTACTCATCACTTGATTTAAAGATATTAATTCTAAGTTTGATTATTCTCATATACAACATATTGTATGGATTCTTTCACAGTTTAAAAAAATAAAGGATGAATGAGAATTTATCTGAGTATATGTAGATACCAAATATGTGATACTGATATTTTATTGATTACTTTGTGAACTCTGCTTCTCTATGGCCTCAATATACAAATGTTGTTCCTTCAGCTAAAGTCAATTATCATTTGCTAGGTTTAATCACAATATAATGTTAATTTTATCAATACTGATAAGTGTGAATCTTTGAACTACATTGTTTTAAATTCTGAAAGTGGAACATAAAGAGACTAGGAGTGATGATAAATCCATAAGTATTTTTTTAAACCATGTTACTCCAAACTAGCACTGTCAACATTGCCATTATGCTTAAGCATATGCAATTTTGTATAATATAATAAACATCTCTCACATAGACTGTTTGTTTTCATCTGCTGATTTAATTTTTGATTTCTATGGCATGATTCCTCATTTAGTGTAAATGTATAGTTTTATACTCACAACTATTATATCAAAAATAATTAAGTTCAGTAGTTCAAAAAATTCAATGCCCCATTTCTACCAGAAAGTATGCATCAGAATATATACTAAGTGACATATAAATCCGAACACCCAGTTTAAATGGTTTTATTTTAATAAAATTTTGTATAAGTAACTTGATGAAGCATAATAAGTAAATAATAAAAATTTCAAAATGATTGCACTGCTTTAAAGCCCTTTCACCTTTAATAATGTGTGGATGCACCCTGATGTGCTACGCATTCTCCAACGCGCCTAGGCATGCTTCTGATCAGGTGGTCAATGTCCTCCTGTGGTATCTCATTCCAGGCAACCACCAACTCCTCTCGAAGTGCTTCTAGAGTCTGAGAAGGACGTTGCAAATTGAGCAATCTCCTACCCATCATATCCCACACGTGCTCAATTGGGGATAAGTCGGGAGATCTTGGTGGATATGGTAACAATGTGACATCATTATGTTGAAAGAAGTCTATTGTGACTCTTGCAACATGTGGTCGGGCATTATCTTGTTGGAAAGTTGGATCTGCCAGGGTGTCAAGATAGGGTAAAAGATGGGGTTCTAGAACTTCGTGGATATAACACTGCGCGTTAATGTTACCTCTGATGAAGATTAAAGGTGACCTGGAACCATAAGCTATAGCTCCCCAAACCATAATTCCAACAGTGTGATGAATATGTCTTTCAACAAAAAACTGTGGATTCCTCCTTTCACCCGTCGCCTTCTAACCCTGGCACGACCATCGTGCATGCCTAAACAAAATCGAGACTCGTCACTAAAGACAATACTGTTCCATTCCTGATCCCAGAGTGACCGTTGTCTGCACCACTCAAGGCGATTACGTCGGTGTTCTCGAGTTAAAGGGAGGACCCAGTGTGGCCGGTATGAAAACAAGCCAAAACTTCTCATTCGTCGCATGCCAATAGGTCTTCCGTGTTCTGCAAACCATTCATCTGCAATGGACCTGGTAGTGGAGAAACGGTCCCTTAAGGCCAATAATCTTAGGCGGCGATCTTCACGGTCTGTTGTTCTACGGCGGCGTCCAGTGCCCCTTGCTCTTTGCGTACGGCTATTCGATGACGGGAGCAATTTAGGACTAGAAATTATGCTTATAGGGACTTTTGATATTTAAGGTAAAGACAGCCAAAAAACATTGGCACTGATTTTTGAATGATCTATAAAAAAAATCGGGACAAACATGACTTTATTTGAAATAAAAATCATACCGGATAACTTGTCACTAAATTTAAAAAAAAAATTGATACCAATCTTACTAAGAAATAGTACATACCGACAGTGGTGTATCTAACGAAAGTTTCTTTGTCCTCCATCATGGCGTCTACAGCCAACTTCTCAGCATACTGCGCCGTGATTATCGCTATCGTAGGTTGCTTTGAACCGGCAACGGCGGGCATTTGTTTCACGACTGTCACCCTGTGAGTGTCATGTTGGGACTGTTGTCTGGTGAACGCACCATGTTCCATCGCCTTGACGAGGTTGCGAGATTGAAGCGCGGAGAGGCACTGGGCGACTTCCTCTTCGTCCCAACCATTTTCGCTAAAATTTGGATGTTGTATTCAGCGGGTTGTAAACTCGGAATTGAATATAATGGAGAAATAAAAGAGCATATCAGAGGACTAAAAAAAAACAACCAACACTAGAGCATAAATAACGATAAAGAATATTATACTTACGCCGCAATATCTTTGATTGTCACAGGATTAGGATATGATGATTCTATTATTTCTAATACTTTTTCTACAGTAAGTATCACTATATTTCCTAAGGAAGTTTCTTCCGCTGAAACTAAGATAAACCAGCATAAACTTTATGAACATATATTTGCAAATATCTCACATACAAATAATTGATGTTGTTGTTATAAACAAGTTTAACTAGCACAAAGATTCTTTAGTGGATGTTATAATTCTCATGTTAAGGTACAGGGCGTTTGAACATACAGCAAAACTCAAAAAATTACACAACAAAAATTGTTTTTACTAATCACTTGAATTTTTGCTATATGTTTAACAGACTCTGTATATTGTATATTTGCAAGCATTCCATTAAATCTATGATGTTATATAGATGAATAATATAAACCTCAAAACTGAAAAAGCAAGAAACAATTAGATCGCAGTGCGTACTTTGCAAAATAAAAAAAAAATAAGTTATAAAAAATAAACGAGATGTCAATTTTAGTATATTATAAAATCGTATGTTATTCTTTGCCATCATGCTAAACCAAATCCAATACAAACTTTACCAAAAAATTGATCTAGTTCGATATAACGGAAACCAGGTCGAGCTATAACATCGAGAAAATAGAAATTTATTTGAGGATTGTATTAAAAAATCGTAAAGATATACTTACGTGGTCTAGATGGCACCTCTACAGGTTCTCGTAGTTGTTTGAGCTCAACTTCTAATTTAACTATGTTTTTGTAATTGTGCTGCATTAACTTCATAATCTTTTTGATGAATCCCACATAATCTGGAAAAAATACAGAAATCTGACATTTCTACCTGTATATATGAGGTGTACTCAAAATTCCTCATACTGTTCGAAAATAAAAAGCAGGAGAAACAAATTTTAAATATCGTGGAAATCAATGCAGATATCAGCACTCGGGAATTACGCCGCCGCGTAGGACTATCGCATAGAATCCTACAGGAAAATTTGCTTTATCCCTACCATGTACAACGAGTGCAGGCCTTGTTACCAGACTAACATTCTGTCAGTGGTTTTTGCACAAAAACATTGAAAATCCGGATTTTTTTAAAAACATATTAGCGACGGACGAATGTACTTCTACGCGAGACGGGATATTAAATTTCTATAATACTCACACGTGCGCCCAAGAAAGTCCTCAAACCATTCGTGAAGGTCATTTCCAACAACGTTTCAAAATAAATATTTGGGCGGGTATTCTTGACGATCAGGTAATTGGCTGTATCGAGTTATCCCCAAAGTTGTCAAGAGAAGGATACCTTAGCTTTCTAGCCAATAACCTACCAGACCTTTTGGAACAGACCTTAGACAACATGCCATTACAACGGAGACAGAATTTGTGACGGGGCACCACCACACATTTTTAGAGGCGTCATTCAGTATTTGAATGAACATTATCCAAATCGCTGGATCGGTCGAAACGCTCCTGATCCTCGAAAATGGCCAGCAAGCTTTCCTGACCTCAATCCGATGGATTTCTGGCATTGGGGAAAACTTAAAGGGGTGGTTTATGGGGCTGATCCAATAACAACTAAAGCACAACTTCGCGAAAAAAAAATTTATGCGGCTGAAATAATAAATGGACAACTTCGAGGACCTAGAGTAAGAAGAAACTGGGTTCGTCGCAATGAAGGTTGTGTGGAAAGTGGAGGACAACATTCTGAACACCTTCTTTAAATACAAAAAAGTGCAGTGTGGGTTTTAAAAAGAAAACCAATGTACATGTATGTATCAAAATTGTGTTCCCTATTTATAAGTGGATTTTTTTAATACGTTCAATAAACTTTCACACACCAGATGAAGCGCTGAGACAGTTAGTGGTAAGTCCGTTTTTTTTAATTGTTTGCATTTTACGAGTACATTATCAAATACTGAAATAATACCTAAGAGCCAAAAATAACAAACTCCATCTTTATTTACACTGCGTTCCATCGTAATTTGCGTCTGGCATTGCGGCGTTGTCAGATTTTATTTTACTTTAAAGTTGCTTTTCTCTAAAAAAATGCCGTTTTCACCCCCATGATATATGAAACTTTTTGCTTCTTTTATTATCACTCATTTAAATAATGACTATCATAACGTTTACACTCTGTATATTATCTAGACTGTCAATAAGCATGAACACAACAGAGGTTTGTAATGTGAACAAAATAAAATGGAATTCCATGAATATCATAAACATTAAAATTAGTTAATTCTAGTTAACAATACAAGGACAAACCTCCAAAAGATGTACTTAACCCTCTTAGCTCTCCTCCTTCTTTCATTTTTAACTAAAGCAAGATTTTGACCAAGAACAAATGATATGCAATAAATTTCTCTCCACAAAAACAAAAGGTAGGAAAGAACCAATTCAGCTCAAAAACGTTGTGAAAATGTTTATTTTTTGGGAAGAACAAATTATTTACAATTTAGTTCAAAAATTAAAAATAACATTCAAATGAAATTCATGCACATAAGAACATTACAAAAAGTACGTATGTTGCAAGAATTTTACTTCAACTGCTATATAAAAAGGAACGATGATAAATCTAAAATACTGCAATTTCCTATGCATTCCTTTTCTTTGTTATAACGATGTGTTGTCGAAAAAAAAAACGTAAACATATTTTATACTGTGACTAACGCGTAACTGGAGCATAAAGACGTGTAGAAATAAATTCCTATTTTTAAAACTAAACAAAAAACTGTTCTTTTCCACTCATTTTCGAATGTGGAGTGGAGTATTTATTAAAAAACTTATGTAAATAGATTGCCTTTGGCATAATTTATCTGGTAAAAAATGGGTTACAAAATGACTTGCGATATTCGTCTCACAACGAGATACCAAAATAACATCAGGGGCAATGCACCGTGATTCAGTAACTCTTAGGAGAAAATAATTAATATTTGATTGCTGTTACGATTAGACTATTTTTAAACGATTCAACAGCTAGAAAGAAAGCAGAAAGGAATCATACAGGGTGTCACAGAAAAAGTGAAGTACTAGTAGCCATTTGGTTTCATGGTGAAAAAATTGAAATGTATGGGCGAATGTAAAACCTGAATTCAAACAAATTTAGAAAAAAGGGGAAATTATGTTTGTTTATTTATTGTTCTAAAAAAAGAAAAAATAATGACTCTTGTGTTGTATATCAAAGACGCCAAGGAATATTTTATACAGAGTATTGATGTATGTACCATAAATTTAACAGACGATTCTTGAGTAACTTTAGGACAAAAAGTTCATATAAACATATTTCCGCCAGTTCTTAAAGTTTAACAAAAAGATGTTTTTTCGTAAATTTCTTAATTATCCTTTACCTAATTTTGTTGTACCATTTAGCGGGGGTATTTATAACATTGAGGAGTCAATTTAGCCCTAACATGATTGAATTTATCAAGTCCAGTGGCGTCTCGAGCGAATATTTGTGACAAAAAAATGTGCGTCACAGTCTTTAGTGTAATTTTTATTATGTTATTTGAATTGAGCAAATGGACATATAATTTTCTTGTTTCTTGAATTTTTTTCGTATCTTGCTTGGTTTTCGAGAAAAAGGTCCACTCAATTGCATATCCACACAAGGAATATGGGGAAAATATTCCTTAGTTTAGTAAAATTCATTAGGGTAAATGTTAATGTAATGTAATTTAATTTAGTGTTTATTTGTTGTTGTTACATAATTAGTAATAAAAAATTATAAAAAAATAATAATTTCCAAAAGTAACTTTTCCGCATATTCCTTGTGTGGTCCCGGGAGACGCAATTAATTTTACTTTTTTTTTTCTCGAAAACTAAGCAAGATACGAAAAAAAATCAAAAGACAAAAAAGTTGTATTTCCACTTGCTTAACCCAAAAAACATAATAAACATTGCACAAAATCAGTGGCGTAGATTTTTTTTCACAAATATTCGTACAGATCCCGCTAGAGACGCCACTGGACTTAATAAATTTTATCAAGTTATGGCTAAATTATCTCCTTAATGTTACAAATATCACCGCCAAATTACAACAAAATTATGCAAAAGATATTTAATAAATTTACGAAAAATCATTTTTTTCTTTAAATTTCCACACCCTGTATCTTGAGAATGAAGCACTTGCGGACCTATGTTTATGTGAACCGTTTGTCTTGAAATTACTCAAAGAATCGTCTGTTAGTACTTACTCAATTAACACCCTGTATATTACGGACATTTATATTTACTTTTAACTCAAGCATTTAAGATTTTTGTAGGAAACCAATTTTATTATAGAGTTTTGTGTATCTAAAGAACTCTTTCATTCGCATTGAAACTGACCTTTCTGTCCCACCTTTAAAGGGGTGCAGGTAGGACTATATGAGGGTGGTCCCAGAAGTACCCGACCCAACGAAGAATACACAAAAATTTTGTAAAAAAATGTATTTATTTTTCAAAATAATCTCCTTTGAGCTCTATACACTTTTTCCAGCGATATTCAATAAGTTCGATACCCTTTTTATAGTAAGAACTGTCTTGTCCTCAAAATAGCCATTAACTGCAGACATCACTTCTTCATCGTTGGAAAATATTTGAACACTGAACCATTTTTTCAAACCTGCCAAACAAATACTAAACAACGTGGTGTCTTCAAACTTGACACATATGCTTTATAGGTTGCATACTTTCTAATACAATGATATTTTTCAAACAACTATCGCCATCTCTAGGTCAGGCCGGGTACTTCTGGGACCACCCTCGTATGTTTCCTTTTTTATTGCCAATACTGATTTTTGCTAGCAAACGTTATGATCTGGCCAAATAAAACTCTGTTTTTGGTAAAATCAGGTGCGTAGATTCTGATACAAACGTTAATTTGACGTTGGATACCATGGAGGGTCCAAAATATCTATTTCCTATGTCAAATTCAATATTTTAAAGTTTCCTATGAAGAAGTTTACAAAGATCCCTGGGAATGTGAAATTCAATAAGCTAAGGTTTCCTATGAAGCACTTTACAAAAATCCCTGGAAATATATTTCTGTGTAGGATAATACACCATGAATCAAAACGACATAAACAGAAACATATCTCTCACCTCTGGGAAACTCCTGGGGGCTAACCAACTCCCTGAAGAAGTCTTGTGCTGTGGTTGCCTGCATATCTGCGTCCGTTTCGTCTTTAGCGCCACCGTTTGTAGTACCATTTGGAATAAGGGTAGAGTCTCTGAACCAGAACATCAACGTTCTCGACTCCTGCGTGTGTTTGCCAGTTTCTTTGTTTACCAGGAACACTCTGAATTCCAAGGATAGTTGAGGGGGCGACGTTTCTCCATTCTCTGTGGAAAAAGGCATAATGTTACCTGAAAAGGGTACTACCACAAATGTGCATTATACATTTTTCGCGGTAAAATTTTCAGCATTTCTTAAAATTTCGGGTACAGGTAAAAGTTGTTACTACGGCCAAGAGAAAAGTTTCTGAAAGTGCCGCTAGGGGGCGTAACAGCAATCTTGAAACTAAAGTGGTATTTATGTGAATTCCGCTATTTTGACCTAAAAAAAGATACCTGATCTTTAAAGTCGAGGATAAAGTGAACTTTTTTTCTTTGACAATGTTTGTTGTATCTCTGAAAATAAAGTGGTGGGGAGGGAAGGTATTCAAAGGTTTCCGTAAAAAAACGACTGAGCCGATTTTAACAAACTTGGGCTAGTTGAAAAGAGCTATTCTTGGGCTACAAATGCTATAATATAGTCGAAATCACGAAAGTTGACGATTACGTCATCATTTTAGTCTGTAGTTCTGTAGTAAAGACAAACGACAGCGATTTGTGAATATTTTTAATGAAGTTTCAGATATGTTAGACAGAGACGAACATAATTTTCTTGTCTAAACAGACTGTACTGCTAATTTGCATGTATCCGACAAAGATAGACGATGTTTTCATGTTGGATGATCGATCATATTTGAAAGATGAATAGTTAGGTTATGTTAAAGCAGGTTAGATTGTTTTCGAATAATACTTTGGTCTTTGGTGTTTTTGTCTTAAGGTATTCTACTCACAACTGTTTTTTTTTTCTCATAACAAAAACTCCCCACTAAAATTATTATTATTAAGAACTCCCCACTAAAATTATTATTAAGCTATCACTCAAAACCATGAAATAAAATGAAAATAAAAATAATCAGTGAAATAACCTAACTTCACAAAATCATAATATAAATTTGTTGTCATTGTGTTTCTGACATCGTGATTTTATCATCGACGTACGTCCATTGATTACTTCAGTACAATTTATGGTATGTGGTATGACGTAATAGTCATCTTTCGTGCTTTTGACTTTATTTGAAGTTTTGCTAGTTTCACATGTGGCCGCTTGAGGGCTTTTTTCGACATTCCGAAAGAAATGGTTAATTTTCTCAAAAAAATTAAATGCATTTGTATGATTTTTTTTCCAATAAAAAAGTAGCTAAGTGATGTCTAAAAATTTTATATGGAAATCCCTTTTGTACCTGTCATATATTTACCGATCGACATTTCGGATAGAACATGAGATTCCGAACTATGAGTCTAACGAATAAAAAGTAGCGATGTATAAACGACAACCAGATTCATGAATTTTAATGATCTAGATAAAACAACAGAAACATATCAGGAACAATTACACGATTTGTAACTACAGCCATTTCAAAGAGCTATGCAATTAGCGAAAGTTACACCAGTTTTTACTTCCCACTAAAATAAATGTGAACACACAGATTCATGAATTTTAATGATCTAGATAAAACAACAGAAACATATCAGGAACAATTATACGATGTGTAACTACAGCCATTTCAAAGAGCTATGCAATTAGCGAAAGTTACACCAGTTTTTACTTCCCACTAAAATAAATGTGAACACATGTTGTAACCATAAACAATTACAGTTTCGCATAAATCTTCTGCACGCTTATACTTGTGTGAGTCGCTGTGATCTCTTTAGCTGTTAGCACTCTCTCATTAGTGAAATTAGGTAAAAACCGGGAAGCTTTAGAGATTTCCGATGATTTTGCTTGGTATTTTATATTTGTTATTGAATGTATTTTTTCATAAACCCATACGAAGTTAACGTGCTTCCTATACGTGAGACTATACAATTCAAGGACTAATATGTTGGTCTGCTCTAAGACCCTAATCAATCTTTAGCTTCATTACAAGAGGTTCGTGCCCAGGTCTCATCTTGATGGGGGCCCCCAAATGCCCGAAAAGCAAATTTCAAAAAAAGGTGTCATTGACTCACGTATTCTACCTGAGATGGAGGAGGAGGAAGAGGAGGAGGAGGAAATACGAGAAATTTTTGTTTCTCATACTTTTGGACTAAGGTATGCTTAGGTCAATTCACATATTTTGTTCTGTAGTATCTCCAGTTTCGAGATTTCCCAACCTTTCGTAGAGTTCTTAACAGGAGGGAAGGTATCTTTCCTTATGTTAAATCTATAAGTAAAATCATCACCTGTAGCTGTCTCCTTATTGATGATGATTCCTGTATGTTCCCCTCCCGCAACATGCATCTTGTCATTTGCTTTATTCACCTTCCGCCTTTCGATGATCAGAGTGGTCGAAGTCGCCGTCTTGCATTTTGGTGTCATCATCACCTGTTCGTCACCGTCCGTCATTCTGAGTCTGAAAAACAAATAAGCGATTACTTTCTCTAAAAGTCGCTCTACTTTACAGCCTATAAGAACATTACACCTCGCTCCGTGTGGTTCACAGTACTCAATCTACTATAAAGTTTTAAAACTCGCCAGCTAAACCGGAGGGGTATTATGTAATAAACCTAAAGAATGTAAAAAAATGTCATCTTGCAGACTAGGTAGTTTTTAGTGTTCAAATATTTCATTCCACGTTTGCTCGCTACGATCGCTGTGAGCGTCATCTATGGAGGAATGACTCAACGATACGACACGCTCAAGCATGCATTGTTGGTTGCAGAAAGCCAAGTAGGGTTTATCTCTGAGGGGATGTAAAAGAAAGTTGGTTGAGTAGCAAGATCGCATATTTATGATTATGTGTATAGGTCTGCATGTGTACAAAATCAGTGGTATTTGCTGTGAGAAAGTTAGCATGTATATGACTTGTAATTCGACAGTGTACAGTGAATATAACTGCAATATGTGGCAGTATGTAAGTATAAATTAATTAACATTATAAGATTCCACATAAAGTTAATTACTTCACCAACCAGGGATTTTCTATTCTTATCTTTCTCATTTTTGAAATTCAGCAAATTTGCATATGTAATTTCCAGAATGAATAAAAAAAGTGGATCCGCAACTAATTTCTAGCTTTGAATACTTCTCAAGTTAAGTCTATTTGAGACAAGAAACCAATGGAATTATCATCAATACAGATTATTAGCAAACACATCCTCACTATGCACTACGTTGTCTTCCAGCTATAGTATGTATACAACTTACAGCTTACGGCCAATAATCTCTAAAGCAGATGTTACATAACATCAAAGTCATACATTGATAGCTGAATTCATGACGTTTAGGCAACACGTACAGCTACAAAACGAGTTCATAACAAGTGTACAACAGCTAGTGCTAAGTTGATATCTAACCTACTTTTATGTCACAAAACCCTATAAAATGTCAAAAAAAACGACAAAATGTCACTTTTCAAGATACGTGATACCCGTGACATTATGCCGATTTTTTTTTGCCATTATGCTGTTTTTTTTGACATTATATATACGTAGGTTATTCTACAATATGTTAACTTAGCACTTAGTTGTACGTGTTGCCTAAACGTCATGAGGCTTGTTTGTCAATCTTTGGCTCTGATGTGACGTAAAATCTGCTTCTGATATGACATTACTGGAGGTCTAAGCTGTAAGTTGCATGTGTTGATGATAATTACATTGGGCTCTTATCTCAAATACACATAATTGAGATTCAAAGCTAGAAATTAGTTGCGCATCCACTTTTTCTTATCCATTCTGGAAATTACATATACAAGTTTGTTGAATTTAAAAAATGAGAGAGATACGAAATAATTATATTCACTGTACACTGTCGAATTACAAGCCATATACATGCTAACAGTAATTACACACCACGCGGGCGCGGTGATGATTTCCCGTAGTTCTCCTCAGTTTTTCGTATAACTTTGAACATATCCTCTCTTCAGAAAGCACAACATAAAAATAACCTATCGCGCACAGCCAATAGATATACTTCATTGGCAGCATATTCAGTAATGATTTTCTCATACAACAAATATCACTGATTTTATACACATGCAGACCAATACACATAATCATCCAGATGCGATCTTGCTATTCAACCAACTTTCTTCTCAGAGATAAAAACTACAGATACAGACAAGGACCATTTGGCCTCACAAAACATATGCAACCAATAATGCGTGTAGTTTAGTTGAGTGATTCCTCCTTAGATGGACGTTCACAACCATCCTAGTGAGCAAACGCGGAATGACTGTTTGCGTCCTAAAAAGTACCTAGTTTTCAAGATGACATCTTATAGGTATTTTTTTGACGGTTTATAGGTTTTTTACATGATACCCATGTCGTGCGATTTTTTAAACATACGACACTTAAAACTACATATTTAACCTAAACTAAAATACTCAATCTATCATACTTGAATTCTCTAAGTTATACAGTTACTATTGGTATTTTACAAAACCGTATTGGCTATACACGGTGTCCGCAAAGTTGGGGTTTTCCTTTACACGACGTGTAGATCTTGAAAACATAAGCAATTTTTCTTAGTACCATATACACCAATGTCTTAAGGGAACCGAGATAAAGGGCTCTGCAACATCAAAAATATCTGAATACCGTCCTGTAGCCGCGATCCGCGACATCCCCGAGTGGTACTAGGACACTAGCTCAACCCGACGACAGAACTGGGTCGGCTTCAGTGTGTCAGGTCAGTATGCAACCTTCAACCGACGGTTACGGTCACTCGTGTAGAGGTAATCGCGTAGACGAGAATCCCTCAACAAGCACTAGGGACGTGGCTAGAGAAGTGCGAGTATCAAAAACTAAAGTGTGGCAAACACTGCGTGAAGAGGGGCTGTATCCGTTTCACGTCCCACGTGTACAAGCCCTTCAACCTGACGATTTTCCAGCAAGAGTGCGGTTTTGTGAGTGGTTGTTGCATCAACATGACAATAATCCAGACTTATTGAAGTGCATATTGGTGACAGACGAATCTACGTTCACGCGTAATGGGGTGAATAACTTTCGCAACACTCATGTTTGGTCAGTAGAAAATCCGCACGCTGTCCGTCGGGCACATTTTCAACAAACATTTTCGGTGAATGTTTGGGCTGGCATGGTGAACGGTATGCTCATTGGACCATTTATTCTCCCAAATCGATTGGACGGGATGCAATATCTAGACTTTTTACGCAACATTTTGCCTTCCTTGTTTGCCTGCGTCTGCTCGGTAGCGCATCAGCTGATTTCATTTTCTGTTGGAGCGGTATGATTTCGGGCAGAGACGTACTTAGCCCTTCTCGTCAACTGGAGAGTGAGTACTTTTTCCTTTATTTTTTTTTTACTTGGTCGCCCTCGTTTGACTACACATTACCTTTGTTATTTCAAGGGTAGTTGTTTCTGAAAAGGAAAACCACAACTTTGCGGACACCCTGTATATTGCAAGATTCCTAAACAGGTGTTGCTTCTCATGATTTACCGTTTCGCAGTCACAAGGAGTAATGAAAGGGATAAATGATGACACTCTTTAATAATACTTCTAGTTGAGCGTTCCATCATAGACCTCTACTTTGTATAAGATATCACATGTCTTAAAAACGTCTATTTTATGCTGACTAAAAACAATGACACACACCATACAAATATTGGTGTACATATGAGAAATCCAAGTCCTGAACACCTAACCAAACATTAAAATACCTAAAACATATTTTCTTGTTTATCCCAACCATGATTAGAAATATCCAATTTATTTTTAATACCTTTTTAAGAGTCATATGTTTTAATGCAAGTTTATTATTTTTAACTAGACAAAAGAACAAGTTCTTGCAGTTTTCAGATATCGGTAATTTTTACACGATTTCCTTTTTCTGGAATCATTTAAACACGATTCAACGCGAACATTCCATTTTAACTCATAAACTGGCCACCAGATGACGATGCGTTGTTTAAAGAGAGCACATCCCTATATTTACCTCTGCAACATATCCAGGGGTGCGTTTGTAAATCACTTGGCAATGTAATACTGTACAGTAATGGAATGTTGTCAGATGTAATTTTACTCTGGAATACTGTCAAACTGTGTTTTTAGAACGCCTAAATTATTACAGTCATGTAATGACAGTTGATGACAGCCCGCTAATTAATAAGTACTTTTACTGCTACCATTGTAGTTACTATAAGAGACGCTAGGATGCGAGGTAGCATTCATCATGAAAAATATACATTCTGCCAATTTTGAGCAGTTTCTGATAACCAAATAAAATAAACAAACAACGAACAGCCACACAAAAAAACTTTTGACAGTCCGAGGAATTAATTTGATTTTAAAACATCATTTTCAATAAATAAACTTCTTAATGATGCGCCTGTTTTTTGTTAAACCTTTTTAATGCCGCACTAAAGACTTTTCGGGCGTATAATAAACACGTCCTTAAGACGTCCTAATAAAACGTCTTTAAGGCCCGTATCGTCAGTCGTCCCTAAATTGTAGGGCGCGTTTATGGCCTCCTTGATTGTCATACTCTTTTCTCTCCTTCAAAAATCTTCTAGATTACACTCGTCCCGTGCCAGCGTAAGCGCTCTCCTATTGTTAAGATATGTTTTCCTTTTAAATTGTAGGAAATTTCAGGCTGATAAAACATGATATAACTCAAAAGCAAGCACAATTTGATGCAAATAGATGTTTGTGACATAACCTCAAAATAGAGCGTTGACACGGAGAAGTATAAAACTATGACAATCAAGGAGGCCATAAACGAGCCCTACAATTGTAGAGACGACTGACGATACGGGCCTAAGATATAATTGTGCTATTTGTGATTGTGTCACGTTTTATTAGAAAGTCTGTTACTATACGATGTTGTTTCCTGTTTATTAATATCAGTTCCTCTATGGAATTAGGGCATAGTTCTAAGATGACTTGTATTCAAATATTCCTTGATGAAGCAGTCGTTTGGACATAAAACATTTGGTCTAGCAGACTATCATCATTGCTATTATCCTTCGAGTGACAGAAAAATCGAGTTTCAATCGCGTATGAAAACAATGATGGAATTAACAGACAGAAGAATACAGTGAAGAAAGTTTATTGCTATTCCGACGAGTGATATCTGGGTCAGAGTACGAGCAATGTATATGTTAAATGCTCGATTTTATCTTTAATCGCCCCATTACAGACAAATAATGAGTTAATTTACAGATAGTGTAAATATAAAAATAGGTGAAATATAATAAGAGTTGAAAATAATATAATGTTAACATTGTTAACAGTAACTGGGTCAAGTGAATTTACTCCAGGTCCAGTTTATTTGTATACCAACAGGACACAAACAGGAGGTTACTAAAATAAGATTTTACGCAGAGTTGTCCTAGAATAACAGGTCAATCTCTTGTGTTCATATAGATCACAAAAAGTATTACCACAAGAAAA